ATTTACGAAATGAAAGCCAAATGTGATTCAAGAGCTATTAATTAATGAAAGAACCAGCGTTCTCTTTGAATTTCACCCAGAATATCAGCTGTACCTCGTTAAATAACTAGAGTTAACAGTATAATTTATAATAATAGTTTGAGTAGTCTCGGATAAGCTTATCATAAAAATGTTTAATTGTACTTATCAATATCGATCGGCAAAACCAAAAAACAAAAACTATAGCCTAGTCATTTGTTCGCAACTGACTCAAAAAGTAAAAACTTTAATGCGAAGATTTGTCACGAGGGTACAAATATATTATGTCCTATCAGTCGCATGCGCTGATTTATTTCTTTCAATTTTCTACTTGTATTGATTATCGCAAAAGGCAGCGATACACTTTGGTCCGTAGTTATCATTTTCTCCCTATAAAGATGCACACATTTTGGCGCAATTTTTGCGCAATCCCTGCAGTTTTCGACAATCCTGCTTAATGGGATATATATATACGGTTATTGTTATATAATGTTAATTTGTACGTAAGTGATTTACTAGATCTCTTTTAACGAAAGAGTCGGTAGGTAATTTAATTTCTTATCTTAATGCTTTTCTTAAATTTGAATTATGAAATACGTACATATATACATGAACTGTTAGGCACATAATACGGGGTTCGGATTACATTGGGACGAGGAAGTTTTAATATGCAAGATCAAAAAAAAAAAGAAATAAGGAAAACCAGCAAAAAATGCATCATAAAACATGTGTGAGAAAGGGTTTATAACACGCAACATAAAAAAACCTGTCTTTAGTAATACATTTAGACTGAGAGATTGAGTTACGATTTGATTTATTACTTTCTACCCATAACGCAATGTATTTATTTTAAATGTTAAAGATCCTGTAACACATTTTTTTCATGGTTTTATTTCATAAATATGATGCTCAAATTAAGATTTGTCAATCTTGTAAGTTCAAATAAGCATTATTTATAAAGATATTACCCAATTTAACATTTTGCGTAAATATAGGGAGGTAATTAGAAATTTATTTTCTATAAATTCCAAGTCAAATTTTCCAATAAGAAATCAATGCATGTAACTTATTGATTAAATTTAATGTGCACAAATATTTGCAGTACACATTTTACATATTCTTGAGTGTTTGAAAATTGTTTTATTTGCATAATTATATACATATATAATATTTTTTTTGCAAGTGTGTGATACATACAGTAACAATATCAATCATAAAACATACAGGATCTTTAAATAGGGAAACTTCTCTTTTTCAAGAAGAACAGTATATGCTAGGTTTTTTTCCCCAAAATGTTCTGCCTTCCATTGGACTTTGATGACTTAACGCTATCAACGTTATATTGAAAATATATTCAATCACAAACCTTCAAAGCAATCGCTATTTTCTAAAATGTGTACCTTTTTACTAATAAGACAGATATATCCCCGACCCCCCTTATTTTTAGTGCAGAGGATTGAATTAAACTTGAGCTGTGAGAAATGTTGCGTCTAACTTGTCCATAAATTTCATTAACGACACAACGGTTTTTTCTTTTGTATTTTTTTTCTTTTTTTTCCCCCAACTAAATGATATGTTTTGTCGTTGCCCTCAATATGTATCTTCCTATACCGTGATAGGTATACTTACAAAACGGCCTTCAGCTTTAATTTTCTGTCGGAAAAAAATAATTCTGTGTTGTTTCAAACTAAGTGTTTTAGTAATTTTATCTTGAAAAAAATTCCATCACTTCAAAGCCTTCTTCAAAACAGCGTATCGAGACCTATTTATAACGCGAAAGTGAGGTTCATTTCTAAATTTAGAAGACCTGAAAATGAATCGTCCGCTTTACCATATTAATTGATAATGTATTTTATCGTCTCCACCTTAATTATTTTGATTTTGATAATTTATATTAAACGATTTATTTAAAAAATGATACACGTGTATTTAACGTTTAGAACAGATACCTTAAAAACATTGATTGCAAAAGTCTTCATCACGCTGGTCTTTCCAGAATAATAATTACAACGTCTTTAGTGTTGAAAGGTTGAACATTGCTAAAGCCGGTGCTACATGGCGTGAGCGATGTGGCCGCTTAAATTAATTCTCATAAACAGACTCAATAAAACAGAGTCTTCGATTTTCAACCACAGGCGTTCGGCACATTTGCCTTGCCAGTAATGGTCAAATTATCATAAAAATCTCCCCTTGATCATCAGCACCCGTTTTCTATATAAAATATATACTATATTTTATCAGGGTCTTTCAAATAGAAAGACCCTGATTTTATACATGTATATACCAAATGCAAAATGCAATGTTTGGCAAGGTAAATGTGCAGAGCGTCTGTGTTTACAACTACATAGACTGTACATATTTGTTTATCATCTGAAGAAAGAAGCACTGAGTTTAAAAATGTTTGTCATAAAAGGAACAAAGTGTAAATAAAGTAACTTAACTTCCATACAAACTTTTGAAATGCTAAAAAAATATTTATGTGCAAAATAGCTTATTCATGTAAATGTATTGCTCGCAATCTAATATAAAAATCAACTCATTAGCAATAAAATAGAGAAAACAGAATCCCTAAAGAAAGCCCAACACGGCAAAATTGTAAAATGTTGCAGGCTCCAGTTCGCAAGATAAGACTTATATAGTAAGTACTATAAATGCTGACCTTGAATTTATATCTACCTTGGAAAGTCAGTGGTTAATACAATTTAACGCTGCTAAAACTGAAGTCATGTATTTTTGACTTTCCAAAAATAATCGCGACACTCCTGATATTTACTTCCAAAATAAACATCTTAATTTCGTTCAATCTCACAAGCATCCATGTGTTACATTATTAGTTATAAAGATTGTTGACAGGTTATATGATCCTATATAAACGGCTGTTTGTAAATACGGCCATATAACCTGTCAACAATCTTTATAACGAATTTATAATACAGCAAACATCATTTTTTAGAGAAAAAAGTAAGATTTCTTCATGAATCGACAACAGCCGTGTATATAAAACTTTATTACCCTTCCAGATTTTTTCCGCCTTTTTGATTGGATATTGATCACCCGAAAGAAATTGATATAACCGAGCCAGACGGGTAATATACACACTAAATTTCCCCGTTGGGTACCCAACGTTGTAAACAACATGCGCTAAGGTGATGCGCGTACGGATCGATTTTACGCGGTGTAAATTCCGATTTAAAAGCACTTTTTAAATGTCAAATGATAAATATTTACCAAAGTAGAGTAATGATACATATTACCATCAGTATCGAAAACAAATATGACCTTGTGAAAACTTGATATTAATTACAAAAAAGTGCGTTCAATAGACTACTCCTTTTCTCTTGTTTACATTCGTTAGGTACGGGAAAAATACGTCATGGTTTTATGTGACGTCATGTTGTGCCGAAGAGGTACCCTAAAGGGAATCTTATTTCGACGTTTTATTTGAAACAGTAATGATTTTTTTAAAAAATCGTCTAAACTCGGCAGGGGAAGGGTAATAAAATTATTATTTTGGTTTTGGAGTGATATATGTGGATATATTACCTGCAAAGATAAAATATCACCCTCGCCTAACGGCTCGGGTGATATAAATTCTTAACAGGTAGATTCTAATATATCCACATATATCACTCCAAAACCAAAATAACATATAATATAAAACGTCACGATTATCCAATGAAAAGCGACGTTACAAACTTGCAGTATTATAATAAGTATTGATGGTACATGGCATCAACATAATTATTTCTAAAATTCATGTTATCAAGAAACTGGTAAGCATATTCCCAGGAAATATTTTATTTTGTTCGTTATTGTCCTCTGTTTGTCTTGATACGTCATTTATTAGTAAATTCCTTGAAAAATATTTACAAGTTAAGACATGCCTAAAATATTCTCAGAATAAATAAAAATATAGGGCGGATTTTTTTTTCTTTTTCTTCAGATTACTACAATATTTAGACAAAGGCCGACACAAAAACTTAACCGTTCTTTGAAACAGATATGACACTGAATTAGAATACATGAGCAGGTTAACTGTTAATAATGCGCGTTTGGAGCAAGAATTTTATTGGATAATCGTGACTTAAAATAGAGGAAATAAGAATCCCTAAAGAAAGCCGAACACGACATAATTGAAAATGTTGCAGGCTCGGTTTCATTGAGCCTATTCATGGACGATACTGTTAAGTGCAAACTACCGTCCACGCTCCCTAGCACCGGCTTTAGCAGAATTCAACATTTTACATAAACTGGTACAATTTTGAATTTTGAAACATCCGCAGATGTGTTCATGTGGCGGTTATCATGGAACCTTAAATGTGACACTATAAGTGCCATTTCATGAAAAGCGGCAAGTAAAAAAATGCGTGTGTCCTAAACGAGAAAACAATGGGCGGAATAACCAAATAAAATGGAATTTTGAAAGGGGTCGGAGATTATGAAGCCTGCACATCACAGTTAAGACTTCAAAAGACAAATTTAAAAGGCAGGCCTAAAATCCTATTGGTGATTCAACGGTATTCAATTGAGGAATGCTGGAACCACCAAACAAGAAAATAGCCGAATTGAAAGAACTTAATTACCACAAGCACAACAATAATGTCGTGCTGAACGATCTTTAAGGATCGCAAATATAACATCTCGGGTTGAATGTACGGGGCGACTTTCTACAGCCTCCACACCGCACAAACAACGCTGGTGTGGCCATAAAATAGATAAAATAAGAATCCCTAAAGAAAGCCCAACACGGCATAATTGAAAATGTTTCAGGCTCGGTTTGATTCAGTCTGTTCATGGACGATACTATTAAGTGCAAACTACCGTCCACGCCCTCTAGCACCGGCTTAAGAAGAATTCAACAAGCATTAATGAATTAAGAATGATTTAAGACAAATATATATTTAACAGTGTTCAGCCTTTGGAGGGTGTAAATTTGGTTCTTTCTAGCCAACACGGATTATTGATCACAGGCAAATTGTACGCCCACACCGTTGAATGTACGCATGCGCACATCGACCGAGACACCCAAAGAATTTGGCATAAAATATTTAGATATTTTAATTAAATTTACGAGTTTCTCTGAACCCTTATTCATAAATACTTTAAGCCGATCGAGAAATCAAATTATGACCTGAGTGCCTGCAGAAAACTATTACCGATCGTGGGACCTAACGCACGAAATGGCGACGGAAAATGAGCTAGAATTGACAGGTGATTTTTTTCCTTCTTGGACAACTGTCACTGAATATGCATATAAAATTGATTTCTGGTTTTCCTTTTGTATCATTTTAAGACATTGACAATGCTTAAGAAGGAAACTGATGTTTGCAAGCTGAGCAAATAAATAGTTCTTTATATATTGTTTCCTCCTTTTGAAAGTGCCACTAAAAGTAAAGCCTTGATTTGATATCCTTTTTGAAACTGAAAATATTCCTCTTATTCAATCCACATCATAAAAAATTTCATCTAAAGCAGTGATTTTTAAGTAGCAAATTTTGTTGTCTTCTCCATTGTCTGCAAATTTAAAAGATAAATTCCTTGCCCAATACTATCTATATTGAAATTAATAGTCCATAAATGAGTCAGTGCACATAGCATCCAGGTGGACTTAAAATAGGGCCAGGGCAGGATTATTTTTGGATAGGACGAACTATGTGATAAATCCTAGACAAGGTTTTTTTTAACATCATTGACCAAACCCGTGGAACTGGGTTTTTGAATAGGTCCTATTCCAACTCAGCACATGTCAACGCGGCCCATTTTTCAATTTATTTATATATTGGTTTGTTTTATCACTCATTGTTGGACTGCATGGACTTGTTCGCAGACGTGGAAAGATGTTTTCTTGAATTATCATTACGTTTTTGGTAACGAAACTTTCGGAAAGGGTTTTCAATGATTTGGGTAATTGGGTAATAAAAACTTATTACAAGCCATCCTTGTGACATGATGTATATGAGATAAAGATTTTAAACATTTAAAAATATTTTATACTTTAATAAAACATGTATCATCAATTATAATGTTTTAGTCAATGAATTAGAAATTCTTTCAAATTTATTTTCAGGTATACGGCAGATCAAGACCCAAATTTCTGAGGTAGGTTTCTCAAACAATATTCTTACAACTTTAAAAAGGTTTTACATATGTTTGTTGCTTAGTCACGGTCTTTGAAGAATAACAAAAGTAGCTTGGCACCCTAAAAATTTGAATTCTAGATATTGTTTGAGTTAAAGTAGATACTATAATATAATGAGGAGTACTGTAACCTTATCCTATCTACAACTTTAAGACTAAAGAAATGTAACCACCAAGATTCTGATAGTTTTGTTTCATGCATAAATTGTTCAAACCAGACTTTCTGAAAAGTGTTTTGACTATACTGGCATGCGAGCAGTTCCCGTACAAAAATCGTAGTTACTTAAACATTATTTTTTATTACGCTCACTCACCAAAATTTGAATGTTACACATCAATATTCGGCTCGTCACACAAATCATGGAAATTCCATCATGTTCTAAACATAGAATAACCCTTAGTTATGAGGCCTCATATGGGGTACCGAAATTATCCATTATTTTGTATGAAGAGAAGTAGTTCCCGTACATAAAATTTAACCCATTATAATTATACAATTTTGTTATATCGGACCTATTTTTCAATTATAATTCAGGGCTCTAGCAACTGGGCGATTTCGGCGACTTAGTCGCCTAAAGTGTCAGAACTTCGCCGAGTTTGAACATCAAAGCGAAAACGATTTCGCCGCATTTTTTTACTGACCACATGTACATATATATCATACAGTGCATGTTAATTAAGTTAATCCTCGCCTCCAGGCATAAATCAAACTGAATTGGTGACGCACATGCAGTTACTGCCGATAATTGACATCAATTAACACATTTAAGTGACATGATATGCAGATTGCATCGGAAATTCGCCGATGTAAACATGACATTTTTTACGCATAATTTTACGACACCTGCCACTATTTTATCAGCGAGTGTAAAAAGATTACACCCGGAATTGCTATTACCATATTTGACAGTAGGCTAATTACACGCAACCTCACACAGACCGTGTAAATTTACTTGCATATAAATTAATACTCACAGAAGCACAAGTAAATGGTTTGATACCTGTTTGATAGTAAAAATGAAATTTGTAAAAGAACTTAAAAAACATTGACCCACATAAGACCAATTTTGAACAAGTCAAAAACAGTAGTAGATAAACTTTGTCTTTAAAAAGTTACATAAACGTCGGTAAATTATGCGGTAAACTACAAATTTGAAAATTTTGTTTTACAATGCCTGTTGCAATAGCGGATGAATAACAATCTAAAAATAATCATTGAATATTTAATTAAATATAATCAAAATCAACAACAACTAGAATTGTCAGTGTTTCTGCAGGTAACAGACAAATTTTCATTTGTCACATATTTTCGCGATGCCGATTTTTACGATGAAAATAATAGTTACCAAAAGGAAAATTTGTTTTGTTAAAATGTGTCCAATAACACTTAAAATGTAGTTTATTAATGAAAGTTCCTTATGGTATCGTTTACATTAATTTCCATTGAGAATTTTGCCAGTATGTGTTGTACAATGCATATTTTCTTAAGGGAGGGGGGTGTGTGGAGTTCATCAGGAAGAAAACATTATAATGGTCTGATGAAAGAGGGTTTTAGAACTTATACTTCAAATATCACTATCAATAAATAGGTAAAACTCCTCAATGTACTAAGCACTTTTTCACTTCTCCTTATGTCGTCAAACTTCTCCCTGATAGGAGCTGAGGGAGAAGTCACTTCTCCCTAAAATGTTGGTCTAGCTAGAGCCCTGTAATTGTTGAACAGACCATTTTCTTAGAGATAAATAGATGTAATTCAGGAAATAGAGCGTAGACTAAACGCTGGTATCTATTACCCGATACCGTTACCCAAACGCACTCTCATACAATGGCATGCTTGAATGCATGATATTTTACGCATCAAAGCCATAAAATTATTTAATATAATAATATTGATCAAAATTCTGATAATTAAACATGTTTTCATCACATTGCCTACTTATCTGTTAACAGGTGGTATTAGTGGAAAACCCTTTAACAGGCCTCACGTGTAAGTATTTTAGCGCATGCGCGCAAGGACGGAATCCCCCAGAGAAAACAAGGTCACGTTTTGACAACGCATAGGTGAAAGTGATTTAAAATGAGACTTTTATACGTACTGCCGAACTGACACTTAGATTTTGTCTCTTTTATGCATCTACTTGATTTGAAATGAATTTTTGAAGATTGCAAGTAAAAATCAAGCGTTTAAATGAAAAATACGGGTACTGCTTCTGTATGGGAACTGCTCGCATGCCAGTACTGTTTATTCGGTGCAGCAGTCCAGGATAAATCATAGAAGTGAATCAGTTTTTCTTGGACTGAAATCCTTTAACTTTTAAAAATTTCTCAAATTTCCCTATATGATCTATATAATTGATATTTTCCTCCATAAGGGTAAAAAGGTCCTGCTTTAACTGTATATATTCTTGTCACTTTACAGGGTGCTCAGTCTGAGACTGGAAGTTACCATGGCAGTAAAACACCGGGTACAGGTGCTGTGCCGAAGGAAAGAGAAAGAAAGATTGGGCACAGAAGGGTGGACGAGAAGACCGGAACTGTTACGTATAAAAAGGTACTTTCATATATATTATAATTTTATGTAAACACTGGTTTTTTCTCACTTAACTGGGAAGAGGCCTTAGTCTCTTGTTTTTGGGGGAAAATGTTGATATAATTGCTACTTTGGTAAGTAAAAAAGCTGGTGTAAATACAGAATTTGGGGAAAACTGCATGATTTTAAAGGCAATTTTAATTGGGAAGAGGCCTTTTATAAGAGTCTGAACATTATATACAGAGGAAAAATCACTGATAAATATTTCTTAAAGGAACTGCACTAAATGCAAAAAATGCTTTTATGCTCTTAAACATGTTCACATCAAACCTTTATAAAGATGATGTGATTTTAAAATATTTGTTTGTCAAATAGCTAAAGTTGATATTTTATCGTGATTATTTCAATTTACATAATTAATATTGCTGTATATAATCATACTGATACTTTATATTTTAGAAATGAACAAGTTATGTATATAGATAATAACACATCACAATTGGCCAATGACAATTCAAATTAAAACCATGAAGTATCATGTTGTTGAAATAATAATTGATGTTATACGTTTTAGAAACCGACAAGTGAGTTGATGGCGGCCATACAGTTAGGTATAGGACAAAGCGTGGGAGGTCTATCATCCAAACCAGAAAGGGATCTGCTCATGCAAGATTTTGGTGTTGTTCAAAGTGTCTTCTTTCCAAGGTACATGTAATTATAATTTCCAATGTAATTATAATTTCCTTAATGGCATCATTGGTTGCTGTCATAACTCTACAAAGACAGCCTGTTTTGCAGCTTGATTATTCAAAGATAAGCCATAAATATGAATTCAAGTTTATGTCCCCATCATGCTCTGGTTAAGGTTTTGATGTGCAAGTTGGTATCTTTAAGACAGTTTTAACTACTTAAACGAATGGGTTGAACTTTCACACATTTGTTCTCTGTGATTTTCTGACATGATGGGCAAGGGTCCCATAACTCATTTTACAGAGTTATGCTTGCTTCATTTTTAAAGTCAAGCACTGAGAATAGAACTCTTTGTCTAATGGACAGCTCTCGCTATTTTGTTTTGAAATTGGTGGATGCTTATGGTGTTGAGCATGTGGCCATCTTCTACAAAGTAACTGTATAATAATGTTTATTTGGGATGTTGAGAGGTGGAACACTTAGGCAGATGGCACTTTTATAAAGGTTGTCTACTAAGAAGTTTTATTTATAGTAAATTTTATCTTTTTATATGCCCGAAAGAATTTCGGGCATATTATGTTATACCCCCTGGCGTCCGTCCATCTGTCTGTTAGCAATTTGGTTTCCGGAGCATAACTTAAGTTCCATTTGGCCCACAATATTCAAACTTCAAAGGATGATTGTCCATATTAAGTAGAAGACCCCTATTGATTTAGGGGTCACAGGATCAAAGGTCAAGGTCACTATGGCCTTAAAACTGAAAACAGTTTCCGGAGCATAACTAAAGTCCCATTTGGCCCACAGTGTTCAAACTTCATAGGATGATTGTCCATATTAGGTAGAAAACCCCCATTGATTTTGGTCACAAGGTCGAAGGTCAAGGTCACTATGACCTTAAAACTGAAAACAGTTTCTGGAGCATAACTTAAGTCCCATTTGCCCCACTATGTTCAAATTTTCATAGGATGATTGTCCATATTGGGAAGAAGACCCCTATTGATTTTGGGGTCACAATGTCAAAGGTCAAGGTCACTTACCTTTAAACTGAAAACAGTTTCTGGAGCATTACTTAAGTCCCATTTGGCCCACAGTGTTCAAACTTCATAGGATGATTGTCCATATTGGGAAGAAGACCCCTATTGATCTTGAGGTCAAAGGTCAAGGTCACTTTTACCTTTAAACTGAAAACAGTTTCTGGAGCATAACTTAAGTCCCATTTGGCCCACAGTGTTCAATCTTCATAGGATGATTGTCTATATTGGGTAAAAGACCCCTATTGATTTTGAGGTCACAAATTTAAAGGTCAAGGTCACTTACTTTAAAACTGAAAACAGTTTCCTGAGCATAACTTAAGTTCAATTTGGCCCACAGTCTTCAAACTTCATAGGATGATTGTCTTTATTGGACAAAATACCCCTCTTGATTTTGGGGTCAAAGGTCAAGGTCCCTATTACTTTGAAATTGAAAACAGTTTCTTGAGATGAACTTATCTTCCATTTGGCCCACAATATTCAAATTTCATATGATGATTGTCCATATTAGGTAGAAGACCCCAATTGATTTTGGGGTCACAAGGTCAAAGGTCAAGGTCACTATGACCTTAAAACTGAAAACAGTTTCTGGGGCATAATTTAAGTTCCATTTGGACCACAATATTCAAACTTCATAGGAGGATTGTTATTTGAAGGAGGTAATACTTTATTTTATTCCAATGTCTTACAAATTCTTCATCTTTACAAAAAAAAAATCACGTTCAGGCATATAATGCTCTTGTTTAATCTTAAACATGTCAATTATCAATTGTCAAATGAGAATTCTAATAGATCAACATTACTTAAAATCTTTATTTTCAGTTAAAATTTTGTCTTTAAATTTTGTTTGCCAATTACTGATTATCACTATATTTTTGCATTGTTATTTAAAGTGTTAGGGCTAGGCTTACACTTATGTCATTCAGGTTGTTTTTAACATTCTGACCTTAGACATAGCCAATAAGACATATTGTGTGTCAGATATAATCACATTGTTGATTTTTTGCATGGCTTTCACTGTAGTTTCAGTGTTTACAATAGAAGAATTATGTTAGGTAAAAGATTGACAGATATTTTATCATTTTTATCTTACAGTGAAGGAAGTAACATGACACCAGCTCACCATTACAGTGATTTTAGGTTCAAGACATACGCCCCGATGGCTTTTCGTTACTTTCGTGAACTTTTCAACATTCGTCCCGATGATTTTATGGTAATGTATTGATGTAGTGTGACTTGTAATTAATTTACTTAAGAGATGGCAATTGTTAACCAATTACTTCCATACTCGAACGCACATCAAAGTATTGGTTAACAAAATTGATACTCAAGTACTCGGTTACACTGATTTTTCTTCCGGAAGAAAAAGTGAAATGAAATAATTTAGAAATTCTGAGCTAACCATCCACTTTACATTTTAACTTCAACGAAAAATATATGCATGGGTGCAACAACTCGGGTCTTTAAAAATTGAACTCTATTAGAAATTTGTGTAAAACTGAAAGCTTTTGTTGCTTTTTTCAAATGATAATAGTGTTTATCACAAAAGTGTTGTGGGTGGGGGAAGGTTAATGAAAATAATTTTCACATTTGTAGGACTTTAGTGGGGAATTCTTAACAGTTATGTCCCTTTTTATTTTACGATGCAAATCAGGGAGAAAATTTAAACTTATTTTAGTTTCCATCTAGCAATTGTCAGAGTAAATGGTTACCTTAGATTTTTATTCCTTTACAATGAATAAAGGGTCATAAACCACCAGTATTACAAATTAAATGACCCACTATTCCATTTAAGTGGCCTGTCTATATATTTTATGTATTATGTTCTTTCCAGTTGTCCCTATGCGATGATTCCTTGACAGAGTTATCTAATCCTGGTGCTGGAGGTAGTATATTCTATATTAGTGAGGATGACGAGTTTATAATAAAGACAGCACAACACAAGGAGGCGAGCTTTCTGCAGAAATTATTACCAGGATATTATATGGTAAATTTTACAGATGTTGTCTTTATATGGATATTTTATGGTAAAATTTACAGATATTAATATTGTTATATGGATATTATATGGTAAAATTCACATATATTAATATTGTTATATAGTTATTAGAGGGTAAATTTTACATATATTATTGTTATATGGATGTTATATGGTAAATTTTGAAGTCCTAAGTTATCTTTCTAATATGGATATTATATGGTTAAATTTCTAGATATTATTGTTATATGGATATTATGGTAAAGTTAACAGATATTATTGTTTATGGATATTATATGGTAAAATTTATTATATTGTTAAATGGATATTATGTGGTAAAATTTACAGATATTAATATTGTTATATGGATATAATATGGTAAAGTGTATAAGTTAAATATAAATTGCCCCTTACTTCTGTGGGTTTGAATCCTGCCCGAGACTTTGGATTCTTTTATGTGAGGTGGTTCTATTATGGTGCCCATCCTGGCTGAAAATGTTGCATGGATGGGTACTAGTAAGTGGTCATCATCAGTCAGTTAAACTTCTGACATTTTCATTTGACTTGTACTGTGTTGGATGTGCTGTAAAACACAACAAAAAAACTACAGGTGTTATTGTTACCAGGGTATTATATATGGTAAATTTACAGATGTTGTTACATGGTATTATATATGGTAAATTTACTTGTGTTTTATTAACCATAATATCTTTATCTTGCAAGTGTTTGACTTCATTGTCAAGTAGCAATTAAAGTTTCATCATTTGAAGTGGTTTTAATTATGCGTGTTTGTTTTTTTTCCTTATTTGTGGGAAAATATACATGTATTGACCTTAAAGGGAGTGGGGGGGGGCAACAATGTTAAGTATTGTTTTTGTAAGACAACATACTTTACTACTAGGGTTGAGAGGCGTAGTACAATTATAAATCATTCTCAGACAATAGTCCAGAACTAACTTGTTTATTCTATGATTTTCAAGATATGGCTTTTGACATCAAACCAGTTGCCTACCACTGTATAATCAAATCCTGCCAGGTACTTTGTATTCTTTCATGTGAGGAAGCTATCCATCTAGCTTACTTAACCTCAGTGGTTCTACTGGTGTGCCCTTTTTTACCCGAAATAATGAACTTTTGGACACATACCTGAGGTCCTTCCCCCATCAGTTAAACAGAAACTGGAAAGTAATCATATGAAAAAAAAGACAGAAAAAGATACGGCTGAAGAAAACTAACTAAATGGTTTTATGTAAACATTACTATATCCCAATTTCTATCTGATAATATATGTATGTTTTGTTCCTTCAGAATTTGAACCAGAATCAGAGAACACTTTTACCAAAGTTTTACGGGTTATATTGTTATCAGGTAAGGTTATATAACATAAAAAAGTTTAAAGTATTAGTTAATAGAGTTTTGTAGGGTTATATGACCCATTATAAATGTTTTTTATCTGATATGATTATATATTAGGGGTTATATTGTCAACAACTGTTTCTCAGTGGCCTTTCTTAAGGCCATACTTTCTTAAAGTATATAATCAGTGTTTAATTCTGTATATTGCTTTCTTTCATTAAAAATATAATTTAAGAAGTAGAGATCACCTAATAACATAAATCATTTCCAAATACTTGACTTGTTTAAGTGGTTTTATTACATACTTTTAAATGAAATATTGAGAAATATTGATGAAATAAAATGCGTATTTTCATTTTCCGTATTTTCACTGTAAAAATTTATTTTTCACTGCAGTGAAACATATTTTCCGTATTTTCACTGGTGTCTTGCCGGACTACTTTCTTTTAAATTCTGCTAGTACTCAAAGGGAAGTCTTGCAAATTTTAATGTCCAGAAAGGGAAAAATTTATATAATAAACAGAAAATTCAAGTTTTTTCTACAAATACATGATTTATTTTCATCTTGTGGCATGAAAATTACCATATTTCACTCGTGGCTACCGCCACTCATGAAATATTTATTTTCATACCACTCGATGAAAATAAATCATGTATTTATAGAAAAAACTTGAATATCCTCTATATACTGTGAATTGCCTTTACTTTATTAGTATTTAAGCGGCTTTTTTAAAACTTTTCTTGAATTCTTTATGTAAGAAACCTGCTTAGTTCCATCTCTGCAGATTCATTTGAATAATTTATTTTGGTAAGCTATTCAGCAAGATTGGAGACTGTTCTACCATAGGTTGTGTTTGGCTCGGTATAGCCAGTTGTTTGCCATTGTGCCATTAAAACCAAACAAACAAACAAACCGTTGGTTGTCCACTTGTGTCCCAATTAATGTACAAAGTGGCCACCTTATTTCTACCTCCTTGACGGATTGTCAGCATATGAGTTGAGTAGTTACATGTTGGGTTAAGTCATGCTTTGTTTTTGTGGTTGTTTTTTAGTGAAAGAAATGGGTTGGATTTTAAATCATGCCAACACAGTAAAGATCACCTTGGGTGCCATTCCCTGCAATATTTCTGGTAAAAGGAAATACCTGAGGTGACCTGTACTGTGGTAGTGCAATGTTAAATCCAGGAGTTGGTGCTATTTATTATAACGTTTATCCTTGCCTGATCTGCAGAGCAACTCCCTCTGGGAGACAATTCTATTGGTCATTTGCCAAGAGGTGTTGCTCTAAAGAAATTTCCTATTCAATATGTGAATTCTTCCTTTTGGGAAAAATTTGATAACTGATTTGAAAAAAAAGCTTATTGCTCTATAAAGGGCAGAAATTGCACTGTGTATTATTTTCTTTGATTATTTGAGCCGCGTCATGACAAAACCAACATAATGGGTTTGTGACCGGCATGGATCCAGACCAGCCTGTGCATCTGCGCAATCTGATCAGGATCCATGCTGTTCGCTATCAGTTTCTCTACTTGTTATAGGGTTTGTAAGCGAACAGAATGGATCCTGATCAGACTGCGCAGGCTGGTCTGGATCCATGCTGTTTGCAAACCCATTATGTTGGTTTTGTCGTGACGCGGCTCATTTTACTTTTCAGTGTGGCGGTAAAAATATACGATTTGTTGTAATGAATAACATTTTACCATCGGTTGTAAAAATGCACGAGAAATTTGACCTGAAGGGTAGCACACATAAAAGGAAAGCATCTAAAAGTGAACGAGCAAAAAGCTCGCCTACGCTTAAGGATCTAGACTTTAATGAAATGCATCCAGAGGGTCTGATGCTAGAGAAGGACACCTATGAAGCATTAATACGAACGATACAGCGGGACTGTAGAGTAAGTACTTGTTTATGTTATCTTTAACTTGATTATGAAATTTTGGTTCTCTCTTTTGACTTTCTGACTTTTTATTACTTTGGTTTGCTCAACAGATAATACAAGGTTTACATTATGCAATGCTCTATATCAAAAGGAAAAGAATTGCTTTTCAAGTGAGCATGTATTGAAATTATAACCAAGTTACCATTCTACAGACCACTTGACCTTCACAGCTGTGGGCTCAAACCCTGCCAGGGACACTGGATTCTTTCATGTAAGGAGGCTAATAAGTTAGCTTATATAAGTGATAAGGCATAGACAACTATAAAGCCTGATTTATTTTTCTGATTGTTAAGTGGTTATTGTCAGTAACTTCAAAGTACTTGTCCCCTCATAGCTGTGGGTTTACCATATAACCAGAGAGTGTGTGTGACTTAAAGCCAATCAAAAGAAACAAACAGTATGGGACATGGCCAAGTGGTTAAGTCATCAGAACAGTTACCTAGGGATCACTAGCCAAGTGGTTTCAAACCCAGTCAGAGGCAAGCCATTGGTTCCTTCAGGAATAAATTTTACGCTCATTGCTCGGTTAGCTCCAAAAATAGATACCAAAGTGTGTCTATAAGCTTCTAGCTTCCTTCTCAAACTAAAACAAATTATGTATGAACTAAAATAAACAAACAACATTGAAATTATTGTATTTATAGAAATCTAAACTTTATGAATTTTAAATTTTCAGGTTTTAGAAAGTTTTAAAATTATGGATTACAGTTTACTAGTTGGAATTCATAATCTAGATGCTGCCAAAAAGGAAAAGGTATGTGGTTTTCATAATTAAATAACCTGCATATTTATTCAAGTAAAATTAGATAAGAAACTTTGTATGAATGCACCATTCTGATAAGTTGTATTTCATGGAAAATTTTAAGCTTAAAATATGTCTTGTGACCAAATTTTAGTTTCAAAGAAAATGTTCTTTTGTCTCTTATGTTAAGACTATTCAAATTTTGAATAGTGATAGGAAACGTTGTATGAATGCATTATTCTGATTGGTTGTATTACCTTGTATGAATGCACTATTCTGATTGGTTGTATTACATTGTATTCATGCACTATTCTAATTGGTTGTATTAATGGCAACACAAATTCGGCAGATTATGGGTTAACCCTTACAAATGAAGCAAAAATGGTTAGCCTTTGCCACCAGTATGGAGCCATGTCAGCCTATGGTGTTGGCTGGCTATCTCCCAATTTTCATTTTAGTATCAGAAAAAAATTGTTATGGAGCATTCCAAAAAATGGAAACTAAACAAGCCCATTGTATAAATCCTACAGTTTAAAGTGACATTATATATGCTCTGTTTTTCTCCATCAAGTTGGCATGAATTTAAAGCTGTCATTGATTCAGTGCAAAGCATATCAACAATGTATCGATATTGAATGACATCATTTGACACATGTTATTTGTCTTACATGGCAGGTGTAAGACAGATTTTTGTAGCACCGATGTAAACAGTTGATAATCCTGTCCGATATAACAAAAATAATAATTTCTTATTCATGATTTCAGAGGCCACAAGATTCAGCACGATCTAACGAATCAACGGGAACCAGTAGCGCATTGAGCAACTCACAGGGAACCAGTTACTCGGAGACTCCAGATGGTAAAACGCGAGGTGGTGGTCAATTTTCATACTAATATACTAATAGATTTAGCTAAATAATACACAACTTATTTATTATATCATATTATAAACTGTGTTATATTCACTACTAGAATCTACTGTAAGGCCAGAACAGTTTTGTTGGTGACTTTGTTTCTTCTTTGAATTTTAATTGACTGGTTGTTATTTATACCCCCGCACAACAAAGTTGTAAGGGGGGTATACTGGAATCAGCTTGTCCGTCCGTCCGTCGGTTTTTTCTTGTCCGCCCAATAACTTAAGATTCCTTTGACCCTTAGTCTTCATATTTGGCATGGAGGTTAGTCAGGATTAGTAGATGACCCCTATTGATTTTGAGGTCACTAGGTCAAAGGTCAAGGTCACAGGGGCCTTGACTTCTAAAAGCTTGTCCGCCCAATAACTTAAGATTCCTTTGACCTACAGTCTTCATATTTGGCATGGAGGTTAGTCATGATTAGTAGATGACCCCTATTTATTTTGAGGTCACTAGGTCAAAGGTCAAGGTCACAGGGGCCTTGACTTCAAAAAGCTTGTCCACCCAATAACTTAAGATTCCTTTGACCTACAGTCGTCATATTTGGTATGGAGGTTAGTCATGATTAGTAGATGACCCCTATTGATTTTGAGGTCACCAGGTCAAAGGTCAAGGTCACAGGGGCCTTCACTTCAAAAAGCTTGTCCGCCCAATAACTTAAGATTCCTTTGACCCACAGTCTTCATATTTGGCATGGAGGTTAGTCATGATTAGTAGATGACCCCTATTGATTTTGAGGTCACCAGGTCAAAGGTCAAGGTCACAGGGACGTTCACTTCAAAAAGCTTGTCCGCCCAATAACTTAAGATTCCTTTGACCCATAGTCTTCATATTTGGCATGGAGGTTAGTCATGATTAGTAGATGACCCCTATTGATTTTGAGGTCACCAGGTCAAAGGTCAAGGTCACAGGGACCTTCATTTCAAAAAGCTTGTCCGCCCAATAACTTAAGATTCCTTTGACCCACAGTCTTCATATTTGGCATGGAGGTAAGTCATGATTAGTAGATGACCCCTATTGATTTTGAGGTCACCAGGTCAAAGGTCAAGGTCACAGGGCCTTCACTTCAAAAAGCTTGTCCGCCCAATAACTTAAGATTCCTTTGACCCATAGTCTTCATATTTGGCATGGAGGTTAGTCATGATTAGTAGATGATCCCTATTGATTTTGAGGTCACCAGGTCAAAGGTCAAGGTTACAGGGGCCTTGACTTCAAAAAGCTTGTCCGCCCAATAACTTAAGATTCCTTTGACCCAGTCTTCATATTTGGCATGGAGGCTAGTCATGATAAGTAGATGACCCCTATTGACTTTGAGGTCACCAGGTCAAAGGTCAAGGTCACAGGGGCCTTGACTTCAAAAAGCTTATCCGCCCAATAACTTAAGATTCCTTTGACCCACAGTCTTCATATTTGGCATGAAGGTTAGTCATGATTAGTAGATAACCCATTTTGATTTTGAGGTCACTGGATCAAAGGTCAAGGTCATAGGAACTTTGACTTCAAAAAGTTTGTCCACCCATTAACTTAAGATTCCTTTGACACTCAGTCTTCATATTTGGCATGGATTTTGATCATGACTATAAGGTGATCCCTATTGATTTTGAGGTCACTGGGTCAAAGGTCAAGGTCACAGGGACCTTGACAAAAGCTTTTCTTCTCAATTGCTAAAGAATGTCCTGTCCGCAATGTTTTGATTTTGACATTTTCACATTTGAAGCATGTAGAATACATTACTTAGCAATGCACTGGCTTAGTAACCTCAGATTTGGCAGGGAGGTTGTCCTTGAGCTCTAAATGGCCACTGTTGATTCTGACAAAGTGGTATGCGGGGGTATTCACGCCATGATAGTGGCAGTTCTAGTTTATGTCTGAGGGGTATACACCATGTTCACTAATGTCTGAGGGGTATACACCATGTTCACTAATGTCTGAGGGAAATACAGCATGTTCACTAATGTCTGAGGGAATTACAGCATGTTCACTAATGTCTGAGGGAATTACACCATGTTCACTAATGTCTGAGGGGTACATAACATGTCATCTAATGTCTGAGGGATATACACCATGCTCTCTAATGTCTGAGGCAGTCATCGAATTAAGCACTGGCCCATGGCCAGTTAAAATTAGTTTGGGCCAGTGCAAATTTTAAGAAAATTTAGTTAATATATAGTAGAATAAATTTAAAACTGGAATTTGGGCCAGTTAATAGCTGCTGAGGGATATAAACATTGTTATTTAATGTCTGAGTGATTTAATCTTTGTTCTCTAATGTCTGAGGGATATAACTCTTTCATTAGTGCTGTGCTCTAAAACTTTGCAATAATCTTAACTTGATTAACTTTCACACACTGTATGATAAGTATTGTTTGAATCACCAAACATCTTGTATGATAATATATCATAATATAAATTGCTGTGTATAAACACTTCATTAACCATTATTTAACATGCCAGAAATAAAAGCAATAAGCATTTGCCAGTGGTATACAGAAAAGTTAGTCTGTACATTTGTGCAATCGGGCCAGGCTGTTTAATGTTTGCCGACAAACTATTTTCATATTGATAGTTCAAAAATAAAGTGAATGCTAGGCGACTTGTCTATGTTTGTAAATTCAACCGATGCATGGTTAATAGCAGATCTATTCTTTATCATTCTATCTTGGTCAGGTTTAAAATTCATTGATTTTCTTGGATTATTTTGTAGATCTCCAATTATAAAGATCCAATTTTAAAGGTGGAGGAAAAAGTTTTCTTCATAAGCAAATTTCTTTTAGATCCTTAAATATTAATCTGATTTTTGTACAAACTGGATACTATATAGTGGAATTGTATTCATATAGTTTACTTTAGATATATGCATTTTATTTTAGGGACATATTATTGTAGGCTAGTTACATATAGAATATATACATATTGATAGTATATAGGGATACCCGGTCCATGATTGTAAAAGAAATAATATGAGGAAGACCGTTTTTTCAAATAGATAAACATTCTATACATATGCTGGAATTTGACAGACTTTAAAGTTTTATAAAACTGCACGTAAAGTATCTGTAATGTAGCCTTTCATTGGATAATCATGATGTTTATATAGTTTTATAGACAGGGTTGCTGTCAATTTCTGAAGAAATCTTACTTTTTCCTCCAACAAAAAAAGTGCTTGCTGTATTATAATTTTTTCATAAATGTTTATAACAGGTTACATAGCAGTATATAAATGGTTACTTGTATTATAAGCAAAGCCACAAGGAGAGGGTTGAATCCAAACAACTGTTAAAATAGGGCCATATAAGCTGTCAATAATCTTAACTAATGATATAAACTGGTTATATGGCCCAGTTTAAATGCTTGTTTTCTTATATGACCCAAGTTGATAGGTGAGGGCTATATAGCAAATACCTGTTTATTTGTGTTTATTCAACCTGTCAAAAGGTTATGGCATTTAGGTTATGGCTTTCTTAAATTAAGGTTGGAGTTAATTAACCTTTACCTCACTAAATATCTTAAATGGGCTTGTCCTTGTTATATACTGGACCAAACCATTTTATCATTTTAGGGGATAATTTCAAATTATGTACTGACTGAGTAGCAACAGTGCAGACCATGAATCAGATGGCATGAAAGTGTCCACATTTCTTGGTCTGCACTGTTTGCATGGGATAAGATTAGATGCTGTAATTAGGCTAAAAGTTAATAACTTTGCAGTTGCTTTGAACATAGATAGTAAAGGTCAATATTGTTTGAATGAAAAATAAAAATAAATTTGCATTTGAAAATAGTTAACTAGGTCAATCCTACTGTTATTGGACATAAATTGCTTTGATATTTAAAGTATATTTATTTGTTTTCAGTGAATATGGTTTTAGATCTTACTAAGAAATTAAAGAGTTCTTAAATATTTTTAAGAACGCTATGCGTGAGTGAAAACATACAGAGAAATTTTCACTTTGAAACAAGATACAATTCATATTCAAAATTTTCTTTTTTTCCATCAGATGTTGAAAGTTTTCCCATTTAAACCAGTTTTTGAAATCCTATGTCAACATGGTGAAAGATCTTTAATAATTGTGAGATTAACTTGGGAAGATATATCAAATACATATTGTTTGTAATCTTTCAGGTGGTCTTAATTATTGTTAAATAATTTTGGAAGATATATCAAAAATGTTTTGTTTGTCAGGTTTCATTTGGTCTTAATAACTGTAAAATTAACTTCAGAATGATATATCAAATATATGTTGTTCGTAATCTTTCAGTTGGTCTTAATAACTGTAAAATTAACTTCGGAATATATATCAAATATATGTTGTTCGTAATCTTTCAGTTGGTCTTAATAACTGTAAAATTAACTTCGGAATATATATCAAATATATGTTGTTCGTAATCTTTCAGTTGGTCTTAATAATTATCCCCTGCCGAAAAATTTTGGCGGAGGATATAGAAATTGTCTCCGTCCGAACTTCCGTCCGTCCGACCTTCCGTCCTTCCTTCCGTCGTTCTTCCGTCCCACATTTTTGTCCGGAGCATATCTCTAAAAGTATTTGAGTTATCAACTTGAAACTTCATAGGTGGATAGACCTCAATGAGGAGGAGTGCAGTGCACAAGAGTGATAACTCTACCTTGCATGATTTTTGAGTTATTGCCCTTTGTTATTTTTCAAAATTGATTTTTGTCCAGAGCATAACTCAAAAAGCCTATGAGATATTAACATGAAACTTCATAGGTGCATAGATCTCACTCAGGAGGTGTGCAGTGCACAAGAATGATAACTCTACCTTTCATAATTTTTGAGTTATTGCCCTTTGTTATTTTTCATACCTAATTTTTCACCTGAGTGGAGCATAACTCAAAAAGTGTTTGAGATATCAACATGAAATGTCATAGGTGGATAGATCTTATTGAGGAGGAATGTTGTGCGCAAGAATGATAACTCTTCCCTATACAATTTTTGAGTTATTGCCCTTTTTTTTTCATGCTATTTTGTCCAGAGCTTATCTCAAAAAGTATTTGAGGTATCAACTTTAAACTTCAAAGGTGGATGGATCTCATTGAGGAGAAGTGCAGTGCTTAAGAATGATAACTCTACCCTGCATTATTTTTGAGTTATTGCCCTTTGTTATTTTTCAAAATTAAGTTTTGTCCAGAGCATAACTCAAAAAGCCTTTGAGATATCAAAATGAAACTTCATAGGTGCATAGATCTCTGACTCAGGAGGTGTGCACTGCACAAGAATGATAACTCTACCTTTTATAATTTTTGAGTTATTGCCCTTTGTTCTTTTTCATACTTAAATTTTTCTCAAAAAGTATTTGAGGTATCAACTTGAAACTTCATAGGTGGATAGATTTTACTGAGGAGGGATGCAGCACACAATAATGATAACCTACCCTGCATTATTTTTCAGTAATTGCCCTTTGTTATTTTCAGCCATCAGTATTCACATAGGTTTCAAATCTGTAATCAATATAGCCATCAGTTTTCATTACCAAAAGACCTCTTAAAATAGAATTAATCCGCTCTACTACATATACATTCTTCCAATGAGCAAACACATTCCGCTGGGGATGGCCATGTTGACATGGCTCTTGTTGTAAAATAACTTCGGAAGATAATTCAAATATTTGTTATTTGTCTTATTTCAGCTGGTCTTAATAATTGTGAAAATCACTTTGGAAGATATATCAAATATATGTGTTCTTAATAATTGTAAAAATCACTTCAGAAGATATATCAAATATGTTTTGTTTGTCACCTTTCAGCTGGTCTTGCCCGCGGGAAGTCGATGAGAACAAAGGTGACCCAGTATTCTACTCCCATGGAGTCAATACAGGCCGAGGTTCCCGAATCGTTAGAGGAATTTGATGACGACGACATTCCGTAAGTTTTATGTAGTTAGAGATCTAAAATTCAACTATTTCGCTCATTGGTGCTTGGATCATAAAATGTTAAAATTTTGACTTTTCACCCTCCAGATGCACCTTAAGATGTCTCATTCATTTCTTATAGGGATACTTGGGCAAATTAATGACAGAAATATTTAAATGATCTCAAAATGACATTTGTTAAAGTCCCAGCATGAATTTCTGTATAAATTTTATAAATTTTTGGTTTGAAGCGAAAAATATATCAATATGTGCTAAACGAAATCTAGACGTCAAAAGAATCACCTAGTAGTTTTAAAACAAGTCATGTGACTTGAACAAACCTTGGAAGTTACAATAACAGATATTGCGGATATTGTTAGATTGAAGCAAGTTTTGCTGTAATATGACCCACATGGGTCAAATTAGGAAGTCACCATTTTATTCTTTATAAAGAGAAATGTTTTGTTCCTGTGACTGCCTTGTGTATTTATTTTCAGGACATTTACAGAATTATGAATGAAAAATTCAAAACAACGAAATGAAAATTTTGCCTGTGTCTCCCTTTAACACGTATATAAGTATATTATATAGTTACGATCATGAATGAAAACTTTACGAACCGGCGAAAACAGTAATATTTTTCTACATTGTGATTATGATTTTTGCAAGAGTCTAGAGTGACTGCTCCAACACTGTAATGAGTTAACATCCTTATTTTTCAGACCCGGGGGTATTCCTGCGAAGAACGCGAAGGGTGACAGACTTTTACTCTACCTCGGTATTATCGATATCCTTCAGTGTTACAGATTTAGGAAGAAGTTTGAACATACATTCAAATCCATGATTGCAGATGGGGTAAAACTTTGTTTCCAACCTTTACAATTGTTTATGTATTTTTTAAAAAAAATTTAGTGTTTCTAAATTATGAAAAAACAATTTTTCATTTTTGTTTTAGCTTACATAGCTTAACATTTGAACCATCTATATTTTTATCATCTAAAGAAGTATAGAAATGAAGCATTGTAAAGTGAAATTCTATGTGAAATGTTTTCTCTTTTGAAGTTAACACACAAATGTGTGCGTTACACTAAATGCGTGTCAATGATAAATGATTCTTTATCACTTTAAAAGATCTACATTGTAGATATGTGATAAATGGAATATTTAAATTTGTGTAAGTTCAGAGGCTTGCATAATATGAATTTATTCAAGTCGTTCAATAAATTCAGTATTAAACTTACACTCATTCAACATTCTCTCTATAATTTCAGGACACTATATCTGTGACCCGGCCTAGTTTTTACGCAGAAAGATTTCAAAAGTTTTTCACAAACACCGTGTTCAAAAAGGCTCCATCACGTAAGTGTTATATTACGTTAAACACTTTTATATATACACTTTGATTTGCTTGATGGAGTAGGGGAATTTTTTATGCTGAATTTCATTGAGGAAAAAGGGAAAAGATTTTGTTTTATCAAAATCATTTTTGATTGATCACAGCTTTAAAGTAAACCAATATATGCCTATAGTGCTTATTGTATTGAATGATATTTTTTTTGCAAGTTATAAACCGTGGCTTCCGTACGACACTTGTGTACAATTGAGTATTTTAAAAAAAGCAGTCCATCTTTATTATGGACAACAATGTAACATATATTTCTTTAAACAGTTTAACCTGTTTAAGGAAGATTTTATTTCTTACAAGTTCTTGAAAAAATTTAAGTAGCTCAAGTACAGTTTTCCCCCATTTGAGTATATAGATTAAATTTTATATAGTTTTGCCTTAAGTGTTGCTTATATATGAAGTGTTGCGCTTAATTAAATTAAAGATGAACATTGAACTTACAGATTACTGTTTAAACAACATAGGTGTTTATTGGTTTACAAGAGCAATGTTTATACTGCTGTATTGCTTACAATTAAGGTTAAGCTTTTATATTGATTTCTGATCAAGATATTTTTTTCCTAATATTTAAAACATAAAGTATAGACAAAATTGTTAAAATTATTATTATTTTTGTTTTTTTGCATAAAAAAGTGAGGTTGAATTTTTTTACTATCTTTTAGATTTACTGTATCCAAGAAACATTTTCTCGATATTGATTTATTTTTTTATATATATAAAAAACCTGAGCAGCATGACCCATATTCATTTTTGAATATTTGAAAAAAGGCCACTTTATTTCCTTTAATTATGTCATATATTTATTAGTATATAGGTAACCAAAATTTTGTAACAGTCCATTTTATTTCCTTTAATTATGTCATATATTTATAATTATGTTTATATTGTAAAACAAAATATGGAGACAGTCCAATGTATTTCCTTCAATTATGTCATATATTTATAATTATGTATATATTGTAAAACAAAATATGGAGACAGTCCAATGTATTCCCTTTAATTATGTCATATATTTATCAGTATATTGTTAATCAAACTTTTGTAACAGTCCACTTTATTTCCTTATGTCTTATATTTATTAGTATATAGTTAAATCAAAATTTTGGAATGGTCCTATTTATTTCCTATCAATCATGTCATATATATTTTTTATATAACTTAGTAGAGCAGCCCACTTTTAAAGCGACTCAGAGATTTCGGAAGCTCGTTGGACTAGGTATTGTCTTCAATATTATGTGTACTCTTCATTGCTGGAGATTCAAGGGCATTGTGATACATTTACACTATTACACTACTATATTTTATCTTACTTTTGAACAGTCAACCTCCTTTTGCAAAAAACGTTTCTAACTTCTGATTGAAGAGTAGTATATACCTTCTTCTGGAAGAGTTTACTTCATTTAAATCTGATTGAAATCTAAAGTGTACCTCTTTTTAGGAAGAGTTTACTCGACTACATCTTACTTCTGATTGAAGAGTAAATTAAATGTTTACCTCCTTTTTAAAAAAAGTTTAGTTCATCTCACTTTTGATTGAAAGCTAATGTGTACCTCCTTAATGAAGAGTTTACTCGACTATATCTTACTTCTTATTGAAGAATAAATTAAATGTTTACCTCCTTTTTAAATCTCACTTTTGATTGAAATCTAATGTGTACCTCTTTCAATGAAGAGTTTACCTTTCTACATCTAACTTCTTATTGAAGAGTAAATTGAATGTAAACCTCCATTTTGGAAAGCTAATCAGTAGCTCTTTTACGAAGAGTTTACTGTACTTTGTCTTACTTCTTAATGAAGAGTAATTTAAATGTTCCAAAAATGTTCTGTTCAATACATATATATATCTGGATATTTCTGGGTATTTCTTATGTAATAAATGCCTTGAATGTTATCATTTGTGTAATTTTGTTATCAGACTAATACCTCTAAATAGATTTACAAACATTCTTTAGCTCTTTAATTGAAAAAGTCTGCATAATTGAAAACTTAGAGCAAGTTGTAAAACAAAGACATTTGAAAAAGATGCTGGGAAATATAAAAACATAGTATTTCTGAACTTTTTTAAGTCAAGAAATCATATCAGAATTACATATACACAATAGTTATGTAAAACAACATTTACGGACCTGAAGTAATGATTCAGGAAAAGAAAAAAAAGGAATTATAAGGAAAAAGAAAAAAACTATTTGATAAAAAGGAGACACAAATCTGGTGTGACAGACTGACTGTTAAAGTAAAAAATATTAATGGTGATCAATTTATCTAATTTGGATATATTTAAAAAAAAAAAAAAATAAGAAAGAGACATATACTTAAAATTTTAAGTTCTGAATGTGATAATCTGTTTACATTTTTCTTTCTTATTTGGAACAATTATTTGTTTATTTTTGTACAAACATACGTATATAGGCGTATCATGGACTGAGTAGTACTGCTATCATTTCTCATGTATGAATGAATCACTTATAAAGTAGGATTGTTTAATTATCTTCAAAGTCCCTAAAAAGCCCATGCTGACACCACTGTAAAATGAGCCACGTCACGACAAAACCAACATAGTGCATTTGCGACCAGCATGGATCCAGACCAGCCTGCGCATCCGCACAGTCTGAGAAGGATCCATGCTTTTTGCTTTGAATGAATCACTTATAAAGTAGGATTGTTTAATTATCTTCAAAGTCCCTATAAAATCCACGTTGACACCACTGTTAAATAAGTCTTCTTGTAATGGTATTTCACAATGGAAATATGTCTTGAGTGCTTTACCACTTTCATACATGTAATTCAATTTCACAGAGGAAAACATTCAACTGTTTCCACAACTTCCAAACATGTTACACTATTTGACATAGGAAATGAAAATGGTCTTCCATTTCTACTTTTTTCATAAATGAATTGCATTGTTTTGATGCATGAAATAATTATGCAACATGTAACATTTTAATTTTTATACAAATTTGACCATTGCATTATATATTCACTCACAAAAGTAAAGGCGAAGCTTACAAAAATGAAGGCAGAGCTTTCAAAAAAAAAGTGAAGGCAGAGCTAACAAAAGTGAAGGCGAAGCTAACAAAAAAGTTAAGACGTAGATTACAAAAATAAAGGCGGAGCTGTGTCCTAGTGGTTAAAATAGTTATTCATAAAGTTTCCTTTGCCCCTCAGACCAGAGATCATGGGTTTGAGCTCTTCTGGCAACACAACCTTAAATCCTCATAGGTTACCAGTACTGGTTTATGCTCAGGGAACCAGACTTAAGATTGGTTCAATTAGATATCACACTTTTTTCACAATTGGACTATATAAAAAATGCTTACAAAACTTAAAATCAGCAAATATTGCATTTGTCTTTACAAAAATGGAAGGAAACAAAAAAATGGCTTATTTTTCCGTTTCAAGCTAAGACAACTTATTATGTTACATAATTATACATGTATGATAAAGTTCGGTTTCAAGCTGAATTAACTTATTATGTTACATATACACATGTATTTTATAGATACACCTTAATACTACCTCCTCCCAGTTTTGATATATGGAATTATTATGTTATGTGTATATAGGTGGGCATACCTGGATGGGAATAGGCGAGCAAAGAGATTCTGGTGGTAAAAAACCCTCTATAAAAGTTCACCTGTCACTACAAAAAATAAACCTTTTCAAAACTTTACATATACCCGATGCATTTTGCCACTGTCTCTCCAACAAACAATATTCCTGGACATTTTAATTATATCGCACATCAGTTTTTATTATCTTAACTAGTACAATCTGCATAGATAAAAAGTAAAAATGTTGGTTTTCTTATCTATGTATTATTATTACAATATTATACCAATACTATTTTTGAAGGCTTTAGGTGATAGAGGATTTATTACATACATAATTGCAAGTTTAGTTTAAGATACAAATGTTGCATACCAAATCTGTGAAAAACTGTCTCAATGGTTTTTACTTTTAAGGGAAATTACATAACTTCAGCTATTTAAGAAGTCAAAGACAACCCTGTATTGGATACATAATATTACAATAGAAGTTCCAAGTATATAAAGTGAATTGATACAGAAAAAAAATCAACATGGTCTTGGATCACTTAAGTACTATAACTTTAATAACAATTTGACCCTTGATTATATAGATGAAAATCAACTTTATGCAGTTAATTAAAAAATAAAAATATATGTTGGATGTTTCTTTTTAAGCTAAGACATTTCGTCGATGTAAGTTTGACAGAGCTTGGAATGTCGTTGAAAATTGATTTTTTTTTATATATATAATTTTTTTCCCTTATTTTTTACTCCTCTTAGATTTTTTTTTTCTATTCTTAAGAATTTTGAATGCACAATTAGTAAATGCTCCTATCCCCCCATATATTAATCTCTGTGATTTGACCTACATTATTAGCTGTTTGCGCAAAATTATTACTGCTTTTTTTACACATTATCCATGGCTGCCTCTTGTTTTATCTTTTTATAAAAATGCATTTTTGAGTATTTTATTCTGATCTGTTTTGCAAGAAGATAAGATTTATATGCTCTTGTTATTTCTGTACTTATTAATGTTATTATTAATAATATGAGATATTGGTAATTTAAAAGTGGTTTTATGAATACATTGTCAAAGTTCAAGTTGATGTATGCCACAAAAAGAAAAAAAATAATCAAACAATGGATAGTTTCATGAACACATGTTAATGAATGCTTAGCTATTCTAGGAAAGAGTATGTTAGTACAAAGTTTAAATAAAGCCAAAGAGAGTTAATTGAGACATCTATGTTCTGATTAAGCTAAAGATAGATAATTATTTGAAAGCTTTGATATGAATTATGATGAACAAAAGATAAATAAGACAACTAAAATTTCAATTTCCTACACAGTGATCTCCCCTTATCAGTACACAGAGATCTCTGCCACCACAGTCCGATATATCAGAACTTCTGATATTTTATATTTTTTAGCTTTTCAATTTAATTTTCATTATTTTGTCTACTTTTGATAATTTTTTGATAAACTATAAACGAACGTAGGTACGTAAAGTTAAAGATAAAACAGAAAGAGAAAATTGATGCAATGGTCGATATTTACATTTGAATTTCGACGTTATGTCATGTTACTTTCATCATCATGTGACATCTGTTAAGACAGTGATTACAATCTGCAAAAGGAGGTAATCACTGTGAGGAGTTTGCTAAAATTTTATGAAACCAATCATACAGAGTTTTGATTAATATAAACCAGAGAGAGAGAGAGAGAGAGATTATAATTACAAAGTGTTTTGATATAAAACAAAGATAGATAATTAATCAAAGTTTTGATTAAAACAAAGAGAGATAATTAATACAAAGTTTTGATTAAACAGAAAAGAGAAAATGCAAATTTGAAAAAAAAAGTTTAAGTGAACCATTAAGAGAGAAAATAAGTACTCAGTTTTGATAGAATCAAAGAGGGGTCCATTTGAGCGAACCAATGAGATAAATAAGACAAAGGTATACTTGAATCATTGTGCCACCAAAGTGAGAGAAATATTCAGGCACCTTGCCATTGTTTTACCTGGGCCATATTGCTAGTGACTGTACTCAGACCAGTGTAATTTCAGATTTTATTTCTACAAACCTTTTCCCAATTTAAGATAAAATTCTGATTTTAGATTTTAATATCCATAGTAATGAGGGGGAAAATCCATAATATTAATTATTCTATACTTTTAATGAACTTTTTTGTTAATTTCTTAAACTAAAACAAACTAACAGGCTAAAGAAAAAATAACATGCTACATTTTTGGTAATTTTATGACAGAAACAGGGGTAGTAACTCTTTTCACATTTGCCTCTGCTATAATTGGTATTAATTCTCAGAAACAAGGCACACTGCTTAGTAAGATAATGTATTTGGAGTTTAAGGGACACTCTTTATAGGTCCTGTGGAATAGTTTTAGTGTTCCTTGACCTTGTCATGAGGACATAATGAATAAAGTACAAATTATTCCAATATGGCATGGTGCACCGGCTGCTGTCCAAAGTAACATTTTTGTTGAGACAAAAAGTGGTGTGTTTTATTTTTGGCTGAATATTTGGCTGATTAACATTGTGATTTGGTTAAACACCATTTTTGTTTTGGCTGAAAATTTGGCTATTTTACATTTTGATTTGGCTGAACACCAGTTTTTTTTCCTTCTTTGGCTGAATGTCTTTTTTCAAAGCTTTCTTATTTTTTCATTGCTTTTATAGTAATGACTAAAAAAATAATTTTTGTAATTTTTGTAAATTTTTATTATTATAGTATGTAATGACAGTATTGTGGTTTTGATAGGCATGAATCTCCCATTTCTTTAGAAAGGCAGATTAGCAATTAGCAGGGAGTGATGGCCTTATGGTTAAGGTATCTGCCTCTCAACCCTGGGATTATGGGTTTGAGCCCTAATCGGGTCACTACCATGACACCAGTACTGATTGGTTCCAGGAAGCTGACTTGAAAGTGATAAATACAAGTTGCAAGAACTTGTTTCTCAATAGAGCTTAAACAAATATGTTTAAGCCAGCAATAGACACACAGAAATTAAAGGATCATTATAAATTGGGAGACACATTTCTGTGTAATTATAAGAAACATATGGTTATAGACTAATGATATATACGAAAATTGAAAAAAAAATAATGAAATAAACCTAATATCATAATAAGAAAATGTCAACAGAATAGATTGATGAGGGATACTGATTTATGTTAATACTGATTTTAACTGTAGACTTTTCATGACTGTGGATGCAGATTTTGCTTTCAAAGTTATCATAAATGGTAAAGCTTAAAGTCAGTATTATTATGATGTATCCTAAAAAGTTACAGATACATGTAAATAGACTTACTCCGAAATTAAGAACATTTCTGGGTTTTTTTCCAGGTAATCCGTATGTGCAAACAAACCTTTACAGTTACAGCTTCAAAAAAGAGCAAAACAGATTGACTAATCTATTGTGACTGATAGCCCATCATGAAGCTCTAATGGTAACAGTTTGTTTGTACCAAGGCATTAGCTCGGAAAAATCCACATTTGCCGAGGTCCGAATAACATTTATTGAAATTAAATAATAGAAATCAAGTATCGCTAATTCTTAACATTTTATCACACTGACTTTGTGTTGTGAGACCTGAGCCAGGATTGAATATTTGAAATTTGGAAATGGTCCATTTAAAGTGGGATATGATTGCAAACTGTAAAAAAAATACAAAAAAACATTGAGCCTTGAGGTACTGACAGTTAAGGGTCTGGTCAGACCTGTCTTGATGAACAGATTGGCCTGGCTCTTTAATTCCAGTGGCTTAGGGTAATCACCCTGGTTCAGCACTTGTTAAAGGTCAATTGACCTTAGTTTGAACATAAAATGGCAGAGAAAGAGTTCAAAGATTACAAAAATGCATTAACACTTGATTTTTTTTTTCTGGATATTTTATTCATTATGATTTATTCATTATAATGTAATAATGTTTTTATAATATCCTGCTTAAACTTAACTCTTACCTTGCTAGAGGCAACAGATTGTAGCACAGACCCAAGATTTGAAATTTCCCCCTAAAAATGATCAATGGTTTAATCTATATTGAAAAACGGACAAGTCCATTTAAGAAAAGTGTTCAGGAAGATTTAAACCAATTTAATTAAATTTACTTTTATCGGTTTATGGGAAAGAATAAATTTGCATACACAGTCTTTCCTAAATAATAAGAATTGATGGGTTTTAAGAATTTTTATGATTATTAAAAATGGCTTAATTATTCCCTTGAAATTCCAGTAATGTTTAGGCATGATGAAAAAAGTTTTTTATTATAATTTTTGTGATTTCCTGAGTTGTAGAATGTAAAATCAGCTTGATTTGTTAAATGCAGTCAAAATTTGAATTATAAAATTCATATCCGATAGAATTTGATCTCAAAATCTAATTTTCCGTACAGTGAAAATTTAATCTCAAATGGCATTTCATTTAAAATTCATATCAAGTAGAATGTGATCTCAAAATCTCATTTCCATTGCTGTAAAAATTTTATCCCAAAATTTCATTTTCCATGCTGTTAAAATTTGATCTCAACATCTCATTTTTCATGCAGTCAAAATTTGATCTCAAAATCTCATTTTCCATGCAGTCAAAATTTGATCTCCATTGCTGTAAAAATTTGATCCCAAAATCTCATTTTCCATGCTGTTAAAATTTGATCTCAACATCTCATTTTTCGTGCAATCAAAATTTGATCTCAAAATCTCATTTTCCATGCAGTTTATATTTGATCTCAAAATCTCATTTTCCATGCTGTAAAAATTTGATCTCAAAATCTCATTTTGTTTTTATAAACAAATGCTATTTTCATACAACATAAGTATGATATAATTGATAAAATTTTATCGTAATAGATTAAGATAATGTTAATAATCTCAAAATCTCAAACTGTTACTGAAAAAAAACCAAACAGCACAGATACTACCTACTAAGGATGCTTATAAATTTCTGTTCAAAAAATTGATCACTGTTCTTAACCTATTGAATTATTGAATTGAATTTTGCCCAGCTTTGAATTATGGGACAATCCATTCAAAATATAAGGTAATATTTCACTTTATCAAAGCAGTAAAGATTGTGTCAATCAGTATCAATCAAAGTATTGACCCTGGTCGGGACAGCATGATTTGCAGGCTGACCTAGCTCTATACTGCCAGGTTACAAAGATTAATTTCAGCTCAATCAGGTTAAATAAGCTAAAGTAAAAAACAATTCAAGTCCAAAAACCTCCTATTAAGATTAGAATTTTAACCTCTAATTATTAAGGTTACAATTTTAATCCTCTAACTATTAAGGTTAAAAGAAGGTTAAATCTGCTACCTGAACTTTGACCTGTTTTAATTCTAAGAAAAAAAAGGAAAGAAAAAATCCCAAACAAATTTTGACTGTATATTTTGTATTGGTGTAGTTCAGCAATGTTTAAAGCATGACAATTTTTACATTAAAGTGTTTTTTTATTATTATATTTTTTATTTCCTTCTCCAAAGGTCAAGGTCAGTGAGAAAGTGGAAAGTTTTGTATTTATAAAGTTTTAAGTTTGTCGATGCACTTATTTATTTATATATATTTATTGTTTTTCGTTACACTGTTTTATTGTTCACTCAGTATATTGCAATGTTTTTGATGTTAAAAAATTCTATTTTGTATTATTATAATAGTGATGTTGTTTTCCTTTATTTCTTGTTTCGTTTAGCAGTACGTGTAAGGGAACTGTTTTAGTCTACGCACTTAGCTCATTACGCAAGAACATTCAGTCACCTGAGTGCAGTAACAAAATAACTTCTTCTAAATTTAACAGGAGTTACACTCAGTTAATGCACTAAGGTGATGATTTTTTGTAATCAAGGGTTTGTGGTTCCATCCTTGGGTAAGGCAAAAATTCTTCCTAACAGTTGTTTATAATAAATATCTGAGCCGTGTCACGACAAAACCAACATAATGGGTTTTGCAGGCTTGTCTGGATCCATTTTTAATGATGTTACATAGTTGTTACCTTCAAACACCTATTACCAGGCCTAGATAATGACCTACTTTATGTGAGGGCGGGATTAGGCTGGGAGGGGGGGATCTAAAAGTTATCAAAACTGTGGCTGTTTATTTTCCCTTTGTGAACATATAAAATCTCTGCATGGCTCTTGTTTTGCAAGGATTATAGTTTGATATGATTATGTCTTACTTCTCTTTTGTTTGATTGATTGAAAACTCAAAGACCAGTGTGTCACCTTGTCTTTTTTCGCTCATTGTGTCAAGCACTGGTTGCATACTTGAAAAAAAAACTATTTTTAGCTCATCTGGCCATCTGTGTCATTGTTATTGCATGTATCAACACTAAATTTGAAAAAAAACATGAAGTTGTATTTAGACAAGGGACATTAAACTGACAGCTATATAGAAAAATTTTTGGGTTAAGCCGTGTTCTACCATAGGTTTTTTATTCCGCCAAATGTGTTTATTAATAGTCATTGCCTATAACAGTCAAGCATGTGGTGTGCTTGTTTGCCCCACCCTGTAAGATCAAAGGTCACAGGTCAGCAAGGTCAAAAGCTAGAAAAACTGCTCGGATTATAGTTCTGCTAAACATTAGAGTGTTGAGAATTTACGGAATATCGTGGTTCTACTCGGGTGTTGCCTTGTGTCTAAAATAATGCACAGAGGGGCACCTGAGGTCTTCCTACACAAGTAAGTTAGGAAAATCGCCACTTTATTCTCTATTGTGATGTGGTACAATGTAAAATCCATCAACAAAAAATTAAGATTCTATAAAACTGCGTTATCTTGTGAAGACAGATCTTATTCTATGCATGTATAACTCATTGTTTATTGATATACTATATTATGGTTGTCATTGTTTTTTACTTGCAAATGGTTATTTATTTGGCATGTTTATATTAAGCGCTGATCTTTCTTTTATCAAATATGATGTTTGTTGTTTTATGTATGTTGTTGTTTTTTAAAGAAATAATAAGTTACATAGTTGTGTAAGGTGTGTTTAAAAGATAGACTTGAGAAATTATGAATGACTTTTTAATCTTTAATTTAATTGAAAAAAAACAAACTTAGTGCTTGTGCTAAATTGTACTTTGTCTTTGAAAATAAAATAAGATTTCTCTCACCACTGTTGGTTCGGATCCTGTCAATGACTTTGGATTGAGTCATGGCACAAATTTTATTATGAGCAATCAGTTAAAAGTTTTATAGTATAAGGTTCAAATTAGAAACATTACTGTGATTTTAATGCAGTTAGATGTATTCACACACACCCCACACCCTATAGTCTAGCGTCAGTTTTTTTTTTTTTTTTTTTTTTTCAGTTACAGATTTTTTCTTTTTTTTGTGCATGATTGCTTTAATGAAAATATGTTCATGGCAAAAAATCTTGATTATTCATTCAATCACAGTTTGCACTTTATTGATGAAACTATAAAATAGGAGAAATTATTTGTCTTTTTTGAGTGAATATTAAATAAACATAATATTCATCTCATTGGAAATGTATGATATAAAGTTTATTTCACATCATTGAAGCTCTAATGAAGAATTTAAGTTGTTGTGGGTTTTTTTTTCACTCAAAAGATACAAATAAAGTTTCTCTGAATTTCTTGGGACAAAGTATGAACAGGATTAGCAACTACTGTCATATGTTAGTGTAAAATTGAGTGATCATTTAGCGTTACAATAAGTCTAGCGTTAAAAAAAAACTTTATTTCACTAAAAGTAAGTGAAAAATTAGAGTCTTTATTCTGAAAATGTATACTAAATAATCGAGTCCTGTTTATGCATATATAGCAAATTATTGTGTATTCATGAACAAAATAAATTAACATTGGTTTAACTTTGAAAAATAAGTACCTTCTTTTAGATTTTCTATCAAATGATTTTAATAAATAAATTTATGAATTTTTGTATTGTATGTTAGAAGAATGTAAATACGAAAGGACTTAAAAAATCTTTGGCCATGTGGCTTATACTTAACTAAATTCAAATCAGTGTTTACAAACAATAAAATATTGCCTTTCTAAAAGATGAGGAAACAAAATGGCTTATAAGCCCCTGAATTGACACGAAGATAGCGCTGTGATAGTCCCCCGTTGCTTGTCCGGTTCATAACTAAGTCCTAGCATTATATATCTTATCAAACAATGTGAAATGAATACCAGTTCATTATCAGTTAATTCAATTGATACATTAACTTTTATCAATTAAATATTTCACAAATGATTTATATTTCAATCAAATTACATTACAATAAATATATAATATTAAACTTTTTTTTACAAGACATAATGTTTTTGAATTGTGACAAGTGGCAATGGAAGATAATTAAATGTTGATATAAACTGATTTAAGTTGTGTTTTAACTACATAATAATATTAAAATATTTTGAATTCTAGGTAACACTTCATCATAAATTTTGATTTCTTGAATTCAGGAAAGTTTCATCAAACATTTTGAATTCGGGGATTTTTTTCATTAAACATTTGAATTCTTGGCGATTTAATTTAACATTTGAATTCTATGATATTCCAGCACTGAAGCATTCTCCGTCTAAACGAAAACCAGGTGAGAGAGGTCCAAGGTCAGCCAGTATGAATGAGGATAGAGAACATATTCCAGGTAAAAATTATCACTTTACATTTATTCAGGGAAATATAACATATTTGAGGTAAAATATTACACTTACATACATTTATACAGGGAAATGTAACATATTCCAGGTAAAATATCACACTTACCTACATTTATACAGGTTAATATAACAAATTCCAGGTAAAATATCACACTTACATACATTTATACAGGTAAATATAACCTATTCCAGGTAAAATATTACACTTGCATACATTTATACAGGGAAATATGAAATATTCCAGGTAAGATATTACAGATGCATACATTTATACTAATAAATATTTTACCAATTGCTCTACATTTTACATTACAGGAACAATGGGTGCTAGACCAGACTTGCTAATGGGAAGTGCAACTCCGCCCCCACCATTCTCGGAGGCTGCTAAGCCCCGGTCAACCACTGCCCCTTTACCAGTCATACGATCTTCTGAGGAGATACAAAGGTTTTACATGTTTTTCTCAACCCTTGTTTGTATTTTTATGCTCACAAAAATCTTTGCTGTAGCAGAATTAAATTCGAAGGCGTCCTTGGCCCCACTTGCCCCTTACAGCTGTGCATTAAATCCTTTAGATTCTTATCAGGAAGCTGTCCAGCTATTTTACGGAATGTTGATGGTTCTACTAAGCTTCCCGCTCTTGCCTGAAATAATGCATGGAGGGACACCTGAGGTCTTCCTCCACCAGTAACGCTGGAAAGATGCCATATGACTTTAACTGTGTTGGTTCTATCTTTGGATGTCAAGAATTGAGTAGGCATTAGGCCTAGGTCAGTTAGGCCCAAAATGAATTTTCCTGCTTTTTCTCCTTAAGGCTTGTCAGTTTTAGCCTGGAGACTTTAAAAGTGTTTCCATTTATTTTTTTTTGGCATCTGAATTTTCCTCCTAGTAAGGCTGGAATAAGTTGCCATATGATTTCATTGAAAAGTATTTGTGCTAAGTAACCACCACCATGACCTCCTTCCTTGTCCAAGCAAATTTTACATTTACTATTCCTATTTTATAATCTATTTTACAGTAACTCATTTTATTTCAACATTCCTATTTTTAAGCTATTTTATCATTTACCCATTTTATTTTTCCATAACAATTCCTATTTCTAACCTATTTCACATTAACTCATTTTATTTCACATTCCTATTTCTATGCTTTATCACATTTACCTATTGACTATTTCTATTTCGACCTATTTCAGATCTGATCGTTCCTATTTCCAAACAATTTCCCAGCAAGAAGAGACAAATCTATCAAGAGGTTCAAGCAGTACAAAAGTTCGCCATTCACCACTTAGTGTGTCAGAATCTACTCCAACTTACACAGAATTTACAGAGGGCACCCCTAGTTACACGCCTTCCAGTCCGTCGTGTAGCAGTGAGGTGCTGGGTAAGTTTCATCTTATCTTGTTTCTTTTTTTTCTAGAAATGCAAATAAGTTACTTATTACATATTACTAAGGTCACGTTTTAGCTGTGAGATGGCTCCAGGTGAGCTTATAGGATCAATGAACGTTTGTTACACCAGTACAAGTTTGAACCAAGAAGTGCACTCCAGGTTGTTTTATGAAGCTACAAACTTTCTTTTAATTTAAAATTGATAATGTGTAAACTAAAGACTGAACAAACCATTTAATCTTTATGATAAGTTACTATATTACAGTACTTACATGGTTATGAAAATTACATACATAAAGATAAACTCACAACACAGAACAGTTACCCTTTAAAGATAAGTTTGTATAGATCGTAATGTTCAAAGAAGCAGAGCATAGGAAATCATCGAAAACAACATTCTTTCATATCGTAATACACAGCAAAAATAATGAGCATCAGTTGTTAATTCAGAAAGGCATGTTTGTTGTTACAATATTCTCTTTTTTCAGATACGACGATTCCAAATCTACCCCATGACAACATGTCAGCTGATAATTCTCCGTCGAAGGCGATGGCTGCAAGCAGTAGTACAGAGACGTCGTATTATAGTACAGTGTCGCATTTAGATACGAGAGAAACTGTACAGGAGTCGACGGTCGCGACTGTTTCGAAATCTGAGGAACGTTTCAGCAATAGTCAAACTGTTAGTAACACTAGCAATCTACATAATAATGGCAATATAAGTCGGAGTGACGTAACCCAATCTAGAGGTACGGTGATCGAAATTGCACCGAACTCGCCCGATTCCCAAAGCAATATTCCAAGTGAGCCTAGAGTTAGTGTAATTTCAAATAAAAGCGCGGACACTTCATTTTCATCACAAGCAATGTCAACCGGTTATTCAGAATCTATAATTAGTTCCACGACCACCGAGCGTTCCAGTGAATATGGTCAAAGTGATAGTACAAACTTCTCCTCAAACGTTTCCGGTGTTGATAAAGAAATTGTGCAGAAAAAATATAGTGTAACTACAGATTCCAATGTATTGAAGGTTGAAACATTAAATTCCGATGTTGGAGTGAAGGAGGGCAGTGGTTTTGAAGTGGAGGAATCGGTTAGTATTTTTTTTTGAACCGTAAACGATAAATTATTTGAAAAGATTAGAATAGTACAGAGGGTAGGTCTTGAAGTAAACTCTTAACAGATTTTGTTTCGTTTATTAATAACATGATAACATTTCAGTTTAATGATTTTTTTATTTCCTTAAATGCAAATAATGGTTTTGAGTCAAGTGTTTTTGTTGCAAGGTGACCTTATAAAAGGACAAAGTTATATTTCATGGTCTGAAAATAATCAATTAGTCGCATAATCAATGATTAATTTAAACTTTTTTTTTTAAACCCAAGTAAAAACCTTTTTTTTAAAGTCAAGTAAAAACCTTTTAGTTGATTAAAAAACTAAATTAATTTAATCCTTTATGCTTCTTACCTAAATAAAATAAAACATTTCCACAGTTTTAGCATGATAAAAGAATTTCAATTTATTAGTAATATTGTGAGCAGAACACATGTATTCAATCATTTACTTTTGTGTAAATGATTAAAGTAATAATGTAACTTTAATTCTAAACACAACATTTCTCAAATAATTATATCACATTTATTTATTGACCGAAATATTTTAGCATACTGCTATGAACCATCCATCTTTGCTTTTTGGCAGGGTTTCAGCTGAATAGGGTTAGGGTCATGAAGACTAAAAATAAATTTTCCCGCTTTTTTCTTTATAGTAAGGCAATGAGTTTTAAGTTTGTATAACTCACATAGATCTGAGATTATCCATATCAGTTAGAGATATTTTTGTTCTATTTAATATTCAAATATTTAGACTGTATTATTTAAAAAAGCATGTTTTATGTAATTACATATTTATACGTATAATAAATGTATAGCACTTGATTATTTCAATAGCTTAAAGTATCAATGTAAAATGTAAAACTTATCACTTTTTTCTGTCCTTTTCTTTTCTTTGTTTGGCCACATAAGGAATTCATTATATGCTCTTTTTTTTATACCACAGAGTCAAACAATTGTAAGTTGAATACTTAACTCAGGTAACATTAAGGTTATTAGATCTTGTTAATAGTTGAATTGGGCTGGGTACTTCACAATAATTCATTACATTTAAAACAATTTTGTCAGGTTTATATGGCCAAGTATAAATTGTTGTCTGTCCATATAACCAGACCAGCTAGACAAGGGTTATATGGCAAACAGTCTTCTTTATACAGCCATATAACCTGTTGGAAAAAAGTTTTTGTAACAAATTTATAATACTGCACAATTCCTTTCTTTGATTACATTGTGTTACAAGTTATAATTATTTTTTGGGGCCCAAATAAATAAGGGTGACCTCATTTATTCTCCCTGTCCAAATGATCAGTTATGGTTTGGGAAACTTCCCATATTGACCTTATAAAAATCTTTTTTGCATATACATAAACAACATGAATGTGTAAATTAGCAATATTTCATGATTTTTTGGCCATACCCTATTTTGATGGCCTCACCCCATTTTTATTGGAGAAATACATGTAAATATAAGGATGAAAAAAAAAAGTAGAAATTAGTTTGTGAATTTGCAGCAGTGGTGTTTATAGATTATATAAACCCCATAATTGACCAATGAAAATGAATATTACATTTACATTTATTTGTACAGTATTATAAATTTGTTGATAAAATATAAACACTTAAACTACTGTATAGACAAACAGTCATCTGGATAAAGGGCTAAATAACTACACAGAATAACTACAAATATTTATACTAATGTCAAAATATTAAAACTAACTTAACTGGAATTTGTTTGCACATTATCTTGATGAAAGGGGATTTCCTTATTGATTTTCTCTTCTTTTAATATGTATATGGATATTTTATAACAACAACACATAGGAAACATCACGCTACTTTATAGCTTTCTTTCTGTTTATTACTGTTACTAACACATTATTTGGTCAGATAATTTTTAATCAGGGCTTCCACTAGGAATTTTTTTTAGGAAGTCAGGACTTCCTTTCAAGGAATTTTGGAAGTCATGAGGTAAATTTCTGGAAGTCAGTTGTTCTTACGCGTATAATTTTCATGTTTCAATGTTTGATTTATAGTATGGGATGATACAAGTAAAAGCAATTATTTTAATCACAAGATTCTGAAAATGTCATTCCTTTAAATGTTTTATTATACATATTTAAAAAGTTCAAAGTATCTTTACATGATTGTTGATATTTTCAATAGAAGTAAGAACATTACCCTGAAAAGGACTGTATTGTTGTTATTTAAGGACAGTGGTAACCGTGTAGAACCCTTCAGTGATAACATTCAAATAATTGCTCATTGGTATAACAGAAAAAATAATATTTCCAGAAAACTTTTAATTCTTTAATCAATCATGGTACAAGTAGATTCTGAAATGTGTATGATGGGTTCTTCTTTTTCTACCTCTGGATCAGTACCATACAGCTGTTGTCTCATGTGATCAGCCTGCACAGCATTTTTGTGGTCCTTGGATTCAAAGGGTGGATCTCTGTAGATTTCCTGAAATATAAAAAAAACATGACATCCTTTAGCATTGTTATATTTCTTATTTGTAAAATAAAAATTGTTGTTTAAATATCTCTTGTGTTTAAAATTATTTACTACAGTACCGAACACAATTTCAGTGTATCAAATGAATCATAACACATTAACAACCGAAAATGGTTAAATTTAATCAGGCTCATAAATTGAAAGTTTTATGAAAGTAATTTCGAACACCGTACTTGACCAAATTAATTTTTTAATTACGTTCTTGAGATACGCCAAATTGCAGAAGTGAGCATTGAGACATTGGCTATATCTTTTGAGAGTGGGTAGGGAAAAAGATTTTTAAATGTAACTTTGCTTCTCATAATAATTTCGTATTCGTAATTAGCGAGTGAAAAAAAATCAAATCAAATCAACATCGATAGAATGTGTGAAAATAAAACGTCTTTAACTTCAAAAAGGAAAAAAAATCAAAAGACAAAAACACGCTTCGCCGACTCGGCAAACTTTCGGATACATTCAAAACTTACCGATGCACACAATAAAGAATAAATGATTTTATCTAATTAAAGTAATTAAAAACAGATACCTACCACAGTTTACGTCAATTAACTATCCATTATCCGTACAAAACAAACAATTAATCCAATCACTTTGTTTTCACGATTATCAAGCTCATAAATCAACACACGCTAATTCGCCACGCGCCAGGTGCATTCGCATAATTTCCCCCATCGCTGTCATGTCAACCATTCAATTCAGGGGGCGGAGTTAGATAAATAATCCAATCGTACGCCAGGAAAGTGAGAAAATGTCGGAAAATGGTCGTGGCGTACGTCACGGCTTACGATTTTCGCCGTATTCCTAAATTTTTGGAAGTCAGCGGTACGTCATTGATCTTAATTTTCGGCGTACAGATACGATTTTCGGGCGTAATTTACGGCCGTACGCCCGTTAACGGAAGCCCTGTTTAATGATATTATATTTATTCATTAAGATACTAATTACACATTGTCTATTTTTATAATTTATTATGATGAAAAAACATTTCATTGAATTTATGTAAATATGGAAATTAAATTAAAATTAAAGCATTGTTTAAAACATTGTAGAATCTGAAAGTAGAAAAAAGAATGTATTGTTAAAATTGTTTCATTGATATCATTCTGTATCTCCCTTTCTTTTCTTACTTTAGGCATAGCTTTTAGCATTTTTGTTACACTTCTTTCTACAGATTTTATTTCTATTAACCTTTTCAGGCAACATAGGTGTTCAAAACTATGGCATTGATTATGAAAAATATTCGTTTTTTTAGACATTTTAGACATCCTTTAATAAGAAAATTTAATATTCCACCTCTTTCAAACATCCTTAAATAAGAAATATTCCACCCCTTTCTAGCATTAATTGATGGAAAATATTCCACCACTTTCAGACATCTTTTAAACACAATATATCCACCGCTTTCTGACATTCAAATAATAAAAATATTCCACCTCTTCTGGACATGGTTTAATAAGAAATATTTCAACCCTTTCAGACATCCTTTAATAAGAAATATTCCACCCCTTTCTGGCATTATTTGATGGAAAATATTCCACCACTTTCAGACAATATTCCACCTCTTCTGGTCAGGTTTAATAAGAAATATTTCAACCCTTTCAGACATCCAAATGATAAATTTTCCATCCTGTTCTGGCATTGATTGATGAAAAATATTTCACCTCTTACAGGCATCCTTTAATAAGAAATATTACACCCTGTTCAGACATCTTTTAATAACTAATATCCACCACTGTTTGACATCCATATGATAGGAAATATTCCACCCCTTTTTGACATTCATTGATGAAAAATATTCCACCTCTTTCAGACATTTGTTCACCAATGAATTTAGCAGATATAACCTTCCCTCTCTAATTTAAGTGCTTAACCTGAATGTAGATTAGTTTTGGCTTATGCATTTATTGGATGGTGCTTATCCATGAAAACTTGTGTTCAGTTAATTTAAGCATCAATTAAAAGGTAAATGGTCGGAATGAGTTAAGTCATTAGAAAACTAAAGGTGTCAGCGTCAATTCACTTTGTTCTTAAATTATTTAATAAAAAGTTAAAACGCATGGTCTTTTCAACAGTGTGACCAATACAGGCTGGTCAAGTAAAATATGTATATTATTACTCTTATATATTGGTAGGAGGTAAACCCTAACCAAGCAAAAAAAATAATTTAAGGATATAACTTAATAAATAATAATTTAAGGATATTATAACTTAATAAATAAACTTAAGTAAAAGCATGTTAAAAATGAATGGTCAATTGGTACATCACCTAAAAATGTTGACTAAATTACATTGCATGGTTAAAAAAAAGCATAATATAGATTACAATCATGCTTTTAAATATACATTTTTACATTTTCCATAAACGTAGATTTATATGAAATGCTATTCTGACATATTTCGTGATTTTTTTATTGCTTTGCATATTAGCACTATTTTGTTTGAGTGCATTTTTTGACTTAATGAAATAATACATTAATTTATCTTTGCTTAAAAGGGTATAAAGCTATATTGGACTGCTTTTAAAGCTGTATTGGACTGTGTTTAGTTCGCAGAATATTTGTTTGTTTATTTTGATAAATTTGATAATAGAGTACATACAACTTCAATAAAAAAAAAATATAACAAATTTACAAAACAGCAACCGTCCTTAATCAGGAATAAAGAAAGAAATAACTTTGTAAATTAAGAGCAGCTGTGTATATTTTGTTTATATAAACCTCATGATTATCCAATCAAAAGCGATGCTACAAAATTGCAGTATTATAAAGCTTTATATCCTTCAACAGATGTTTCACTATTTTGCTATCTAGTTGTTTAACTACTTTTGGGATGTTTGTGTGACTGAGTTACTGACTGTGTTTTATATTTTTGTTTGCATTTTTGCAGAAGTAGAAAAAAGGGGGACCTTGGTTTGTTGAGTTTTAACACTTTCTTTGTTTCCTAATGTTTAGCTTAGCTTGTAGATATTGCCTTCTAAATCAGCAGTGAATACATCTATTGCCTTCGTCCTATACATATACTTATATATTTAAATGGCTAAAAAAGATTTGATAACTCATTCTTTGGCTTTTTGCCTATTATATATGGCTACCAGAAATTTGGTTGCACACTCTCTGGCTTTTGGCCTATTTATATGGCTGTCAGAAATTTGGTTGCACACTTTTGGCCTATTTATATATGGCTATCAGAAATTTGGTTGCACACTCTGGCTTTTGGTCTATTTATAATATGGCAACCAGAAACTTGGTTGCACACTCTTTGGCTTTTGGCCTATTTATATATGGCTGTCAGAAATTTGGTTGCACACTTTTGGCCTATTTATATATGGCTATCAGAAATTTGGTTGCACACTCTGGCTTTTGGCCTATTTATATATGGCTACCAGATATTTGGTTGCTTATTACCTGGCTTTTGGCCTATTTATATATGGCTACCAGATATTTGGTTGCTTATTACCTGGCTTTTGGCCTATCTATATTATGGCATCCAGACATATGGTTGCTTATTCTGTGGCTTTTGGCCAATGTATCTATGTCTACCAGAAGTTTGGCTGTACATTATTTGGCTTTTGGCCTATTTGTATATGGCTATATGAAAATGAAGTTGTGCATTAACTGTTGGTAATGGGATTTTTTGACAGCTGTGTAACTTGGGGGATTTTGGTTTTACATTTGACCCTATATTCTGACAGCTTTGGAACTTAAGGAATTTCAGATGCAATATCCAACAGTTCTGTAAGTTTTGGGGTTTTGATCCAAAATTTAAGCATTCTGTTCAACATTTTAATCCTTATCTGAGAGATTTTTAACTTGGGGGGATTATGGTTGTACTTGCTAGCTTTCTGCCTAACAATTATGTAACCTGGGGGAATTTTGTTTTATATTCTAAGCCTCATCTTACAGCTTTGTAACTTGGGGGATATGGGTTGTTTAAGTCTTTTCCATCATATGGGGGATTCGGGTTGTTATTTATTAGTCATATTTCCATCAATTGTAACTTGAGGGATTTTGGTTTTTACATTTAAACATTTTATGTGACAGTTATGTAACTTGGGGGATTTTGTTTTTTTTTGCATTTAAATCTCTTTTCTGACAGCTGTGTAGCTTGAGGGATTTTGGTTTTTACATTAAACCTCTTTTCTAACAGTTATGTAACTTGAGGGATTTTGGTTTTTACATTTAAACATTTTTTCTTACAATTATGTAACTTGAGGGATTTAGATTTCACATTTAAAGCTCTTATCTTACAATTATGTAACTTGAGGGATTTTGGTTTTTACATTTAATCCTCTTTTCTTACAATTATGTAACTTTGGGGATTTTGGTTTTTACATTTAAACCTCTTTTCTGACAGCTATGTAACTTGAGGGATTTTAGTTTAACATTTAAAGTTCTTATCTTACAATTATGTAACTTGAGGGATTTTGGTTTTTACATTTAATCCTCTTTTCTTACAATTATGTAACTTTGGGGATTTGGTTTTTACATTTAAGCCTCTTTTCTGACAGTTATGTAACTTGAGGGATTTTGGTTGTACATTTAAGTCTTTTGCCCAACATTAATATTTTAACAACTTCAAAATTTGACTTTTTGCCAATTTTGTTGAAGGTTTTAAATGTAGCTTTTTTACAAGGAATTGGGGCATTAGATTATTATTAACATTTAACATATACTCAAAATATGTACATAATGATGTATTTTCTGAATTGCTGATTTACAAGGCTGGAATGACTTTCTCTGTGCAGGTATAATAAACCATGTAGCTTATTAAAATTACTTATTCTCTTCCATGTTTGTTTAAAATATTTTTTTAAATATATATGTTGTCTATTCATGCATTTACGTCAGTATGAAATAGATAAGAAACGAAAGACTTTTATTAGTAAAGAAATAGATAAGAAACAAAAGACTTTTATAAAAGAAATGGATAAGAAACGAAAGACTGTTGTAAAAGAAATAGATAATGTAAAAGAAATAGATAAGAAACAAAAGACTTTTTTAATAGAAATAGATAAGAAACAAAAGACTTTTTTAATAGAAATGGATAAGAAACGAAAGACTGTTGTAAAAGAAATAGATAATGTAAAAGAAATAGATAAGAAACAAAAGACTTTTTTAATAGAAATAGATAAGAAACAATAGACTTTTTTAATAGAAATGGATAAGAAACGAAAGACTGTTGTAAAAGAAATAGATAATGTAAAAGAAATAGATAAGAAACAAAAGACTTTTATAAAAGAAACAGATAAGAAAACAAAAAACTTTTACAAAAGAAAAAGATAATAAACAAAAGACTTTTGTAAAAGAAACAGATAAGAAACAAAAGACTTTTGCAAAAGAAATAGATATAGATAAGAAACAAAAGAATTTTATTAGAAACAGATATGGAACAAAATAATTTTATAAGAGAAGTAGATACAAAACAAAAGACTTTTGTAAAAGAAATAGATAAGAACAAAAGTATTCATAAGAAATAGATTAAAAGACAACAAAAAAATTGTGAATGAAGTAACAATTATACTCCTTGATTTCGATATTTTATAATTTTGAAAAGCTCTGCATTGTTTTATTATACCTGCGTAAACATACATGTTTACTGTAGATATGTAGTGAGTAAAAGTTTATTGGATTGGTGGTCATGTTATAGAATAGCTTTTATTAGTGCATTGTGGATAAGTGATTATGCATGTTATACCAAACAGATCATTTCAGCCATTGCTTAAAGACATGAGGTCAGACTGACACCCAGCTTTTTCCATGCAAAATATTTCTGTCATTATATTGTAACAACATACAAAGTTTAAAGTAATTCTATTGGAACAGTTTAAATTCTGCCTAAAATGTGTCTTAAAGGTACATTCACAATTATCCACAGTGTGCTATAGAAGATCATTAGGTTATGTAGCAGTTATATATTGTAGTAATAATTGTTGAAAAAGGGTCATGCAATGTTATGTTTGTGATTTCCGGAAAACCTTGTGGACAAGCATGTATTACACAGCTAATGGTCAATTGTATACAGGCTAATTTGGAACTTGCTAACACTAGCTAGTATATGTATCATATCTATATCTATATCAACTTCTATATATAAACTGATAGATAAAGTTAGTAATACTCATAGCATTTTTTTGAGTTAAGTTTTACAGAGATATAGTTAGTAATACTCATAGCATTTTTTTGAGTTAAGTTTTACAGAAAATCACTGTTCTGATATTGAGTAAGCTTGTGCAAGGAATTTTGATTTTTAGCCCTGCAATTAATATAATGATGATGATAGTCATCATCATTATTACCATTAGCATTTTCATTAGAAACATCCTCATTATCATCATCATTATCATCATCATCATTATCATTATTAGCATCATAATCATCATCATAAAAATTATCATTATCATCATCATAATAAGCTTCGACATCATCATAACCAGTATAATTTTAAATATCATCTTTATCGTCTTCATTATGACAGTCGTCATCTAAGACAGTGACATGTAAGTCAGAAATAGTAACAATTATCTATAATTAATTATAAATTGATAATCTTAATCACCAAACACATTGTTCTTGTTTTAAATGCTTATTGTTATTGGTTGTTTGTACATTGTATCTTACTTTTTTGTGATCCATAATTTTTTTGTTGATGAAAAATTGAAAGTCTTACCAACCAAGCATTAAAAATAATGTCCCTTGATGCTAAATTGTCTTAATTTATCGATGTTTTCCTTATAGAAAAGGGTATGGGAGGAGACACAAGACCGTTGGGTAAAACAAAAAAAACAAATAAGAATATTAAAAAAAAAGAGGAAATGACACCAAAAAGTTAAAACCATTACCAAAATGACTTAAATCCTTAAAGGAAAGAAATTTACTAAAAAAAAAAATTTAAGACTTTTTATTAATCATTAGAGGCAACAAGTTCAACATTTTTTGCCTTATCGTTCTTCTTTTGCTTACCTTTTTTACCACGATGGCCGACTGGTAAAGGTCACTTTTAACTGTTGGTTTGAATCCCATTCTGAGTGAACTTTAATAATATTCCTTCATGTGTGGACGCTATCTTATATATAGCTGATAGAAGTTTAATAGCTCTATAACTCTGGTGTCCATTGGTGCCAGAAATTTTGCAAGAAGAGGCACTTGTGGTCCGCCTCCAGCAATAAAAGCTGAAAGTTCGCCATTTGACCTTTACACACTATTGGTGAGGCTATAAAAAGTGATAAAATAGAAAAAAGAATAAATAAAAATATATATTACCTTTTAAAAGATAGGTTTGGATTAAACTTTTATAACGTTTCAAATCTTTTTAAGAGAAGAATAAATGAGATCTACATGGCTATGATTCTGTTTTTGATCATTTGTTATTTATATTATGAAATATTATATGCATTCTTCATAGTTGAGGTGCGTGTCCTTGGCCGAGTGGTTAAGGTCATTCACTTCAAACCACTTGCCCCTCTGTGACCGCTGTATTTCGATTCCCGACAGGGACTTTGGATTCTTTCATGTGAGAAAACTATCCAGCTAGCTTACGGAACGTTGCTGGTTCTACTCATGTGCCCGTTCCTGCCTGAAAAAATGCACACAAGGGCACCTGATGTCTTCCTCCACCAGTAAAGCCGGAACGTCGCCAAATGACCTATACTGTGTCAGTGTGACATAAAACCCAAATCAAACAAACAAACAAACATAGTTGAGGTGTAAGCTTTCTAAAAAAACAAAAACTCTTTTAACTCTTGAGTGCAGCATATTTACTGGAAACGTAAAGTAGATATTTGTGTGCATGTTTACTTTAAGTGTCTAATGTTATACATATATATATTATTTCCTATGTTGTTATAATCCATCTGTTGGTATAATGATGTCTGTATGTAATATATATGACCTGTTACTAAAAGTAATAGTGTGTAACTAGGGAGATGGCCCAATGTTCCAAATGTCTACATCTTATCCAAGAAATCTTGATATGGCATGTTGGTTCAGTTCTAATGGGATCACATTTACATTGTATAATAAATTCCTTTAATGTTGTGTAAATCTTAGTTCTTTCCGATTTTCAGGCTACTTTATTACTACGAATATTGCAAATTTTCCGATTTTCGGGCTATTTAATCATCTTGAATATTGCACACAAAAAATGTCTTGTGAAGAAAATCTTATTTACATAATATCATATATTTTTGAATTTCAATAATTTGTAAAGATGTATCATTTGATTTGATAAGTCAGTTTTGCAGTTTATAAAAAATAATTTTGCAAAATTGTTCCCTTTTATTCATAAAGTTAATACCAAGATTCAACTTACCATTTTAAATTGTTTTATTTGTAGTTATTATCATAAGCAAGAAACAATATTTTATCTATTTTCAGACATATTTATGAGCTGAGCAATTCCATTGGATAAAGACAATAACTATTACAACTGTGTCTCAATTTGATTGGCCGGTATTTATAGAACTCTTGAAGCAGTCAACCAATCAGTGAAGGATTGAATTACTGTTATACATGTGTATTCTATATTTAGATGAAATATGTTCTAATTTTAGATAAGGATGTTCTATTTTTAGATCAGTAGATCTGATCTTTAGGTCATGAATGTTGATGATATTTTACATTTCGATGTCTTTCTATCATTAATTCATATTTATACTCAATTCATTTTGCATTAGAGGTGCAAAATTTCTGTAAGAATGATTGACAAGAAAATCCATGCATTTGTAATGTGTTTTTTTTTTCTGTAACTACTTCAATGTTATTTATTCAGCTTGAACAGTTAGTTACATATTGCTCTATTAGGAGTGTGTGATCAAGCATGTGTAATGATTTTGAAGTAAATACTGTGACATACTGTGATTAATTCTTTTCATAAGTTACTGAACATTTATTTTGTTCAAAGTCCTATCTTCACAATGTATTAATTTATTCCAAGAAAAAGTTCTGTAATATGTCCAGCAAAATTAAGGGGAGAGAACTCTTTCTGAATAGGTATCACTGAGACAGATGAAGTTTTAGCCAGCTGGTGGCAGCTGAATCAACACATGCAAACTAGTGTAGACCATGTAGACCAAGATAAGCTGGTATAGCATATCTGTGCCATCTGATCTTGATTTTGAAACTGTCAACCAATCAGTGAAGGACTGGATTACTGTATATGTCTTTTTCTATATTTACATGTAGATGAATATGTTCTAATTTTAGATAAGGATGTTCTTTTTTAGATCAGTAGATCTGGTCTTTAGGTCATAAATTGTGATGATACTATGAAAATTACCCAAAAATGATATTAACGGTTTTATCGAGGATGAAAGATGGACAAGTCCATTTAAGATTCTTAGCATTGTCAGGGTAAAAATGAATTGACATGTAAATCACCATACAAAACCTTTACTTTAAATTCACTTCTGTTGTATGACTAAAGTTGTTATCAATTACTTATTTTTGAGGTCCAAAAGCACAATATTTTAAAATTTTGAAACCTTAGATAGACCAACTTTGGTACTAACATGTTAAAGAATGCATTAAATTGATATCTAGTGCAATTCTTAACCTGATTTGTGTTTAAATGATTATTATTATTATAGAGGGAATGTTCAAAAAATTGTTCAAAAATTATTTGGAATAGACCTACATCAAATTGCTAATTAAAATCATGAAAGAAAACTTCCAGTTTGGTCATGTCAAAAACTTCAGTTGACTTCCTGTTATCGCCACCCTGCTATTATGGTTCAGGCTGCATTTTTCGCCCACCTGTAATTTTGGATTCTTGAGTTCAAGACAAATTGCGATGTACTCCAACCCTTATTCTGCAATAAGTTCTTAATTTGAGTCATTATACTAAACCAATTAACACTTTAAAGATTTTATTTTGATTTTTATGTAAGGCACTTTCCTCACTGATTGGTTATTTTTATTGATAAAAAAAATATTTTTAAAGCCCAGTGATTGGCTGATGCCTATACCAACTTATGTAACAGCCAATATCATTGGATGCTATTTATAGTTACTAATATACATGAAAAACTATTTTTAGCATCTAATAGGATTGACCTTTAAATAACTACATTCAAGCAATATCTAATTATGTTTGGGGATCTTCAATGTGTTAAACATTGTTCAGTAGCCAGTTGTGTCAAAGTATTACCTTTTTAAATAAGGTTTCTGGGAACAGAAAGATTTTATGGATTACTTCTTTCGGCTGGAAGTAATGGTTTAAAAGAGGAAATAGCAGAAAAAAGCATTAATAAACGTTTTCATATCATACATAGAATAGTTTCTGTTGATCATTGCATATATCATACATAAAAACCAGTGATTTGCATATTATTGTAACATGCATATATTACCATAAATTTACATATAATTACCATCGTAATTTACATAGATTAGCATAAATTTCTTTTTCTTACCCGTGTTGCAATAGCATACATGCCATTGGTCATTATCAACATCAAGTCATTAAATAACCAATCAAAAGACAGGATTTATAAGAGTATTGTGTAACAGTACGTAATAAACAAAGATTCAATTTTTTTCTCTCCACTGATTTTTTTCATATCAATTTTGAACGGTGATGCATGCATGATTTTTGAAAAAAGAGAATTTCAATTTTATTTATGGATGTAATTTTGCTTTTTACAGGTCAAGATGATTCTTTTACCAACTGCTAGGATAATTTAATGATCAATTTTGCCCTGAAAAATCAAATAAAACTATTGTTTCAGTTAATAAGATAAGTTTAAAAATCGCTAATTTTGACGTTATTAAGGAATGCACACATGTATATGCTTCTTAACGCTTATCTTTATGATTGATTTGGCAGGGTTCTTGTCTCATTAGGAATATTGTTTTTTTTGTTTTTTGTAGGGGGGGGGGGGTGTTCACGTGCTTTCAACATGTAAAAAATTATGTAATTAATGAGTTTACAAAATCCGTTCCAGCTGGCATAACTTCTCCATACAGGTTGAAATTCTGTTAGCACAGGCATATTATTCTAACCATGATTGTTTTATTTTTGCTTTACTATCCCCAGTTTCTTCCAGATTGTTCAGATATTCAACAGTAAACTAGAATAAACAGTTCTGTTTATTTTATTGTACATAGAAGAAATTGAAATTTTCATAAAATAAAAAACTACTTGTTCAGTTTTTTTAGCAAAAGATTTTTTACTTTCCTTGTTTTTCTTAAATCTAGTCTTATACCGATATCAACGCTTGACCTGATGAAGTTAAGTATTAAATTTACTTAAAGCGACCTTCAGCTTTTCTAAAGGTTAAATATTTTATTTGTCAAAGCAAACGAATTAAAGTGGAAAATGAAATGTGCCGTCGGTAAAATACATAGACAATTAAAAAAAAATTTTGACACCTTTAGTCTATGAGTCCGGTCTCTATTTAAATTAGTAAAGCAGATGATTCGTTTCAATGATCTTCTATTTTTAGAAATGATCCTCACAAGCGTTATAGATTGCTCTCGAGGGACGTTGTTTTGAAGATATGATGCACTTTTCCAAGATAAAATTATTAAACTATTTAAGTTTGAAACAACACTGAATTGTTTTTCGAAATTGAAATAAAAACTGAAGGCCACTTTAATTGTGAAATTTGAACAGTTCATTCAACGTGAAAGGGGTTTTAAGTGAATTGGTCTATAATAGAAGGTCTTGAAAACAATTAATAATTATAAGGAGAAGAAAGAAATATCAATCAGATTTAAATCGAAAATCTGAATAATTCGATCATTGATTTGAGAGAAAAGCATTGCAACATTTTCATTTTTGGACTATTTTTTACAATAAAAATTATTCTGATTATTCTGGAAAAAAAACCAAGGATGAGGATTGGGCTAAAGATTTGCACACAAGTTATTGGTTTGGGCGTTAATAAATTGGTAGAAAAATAGTTTCAGCCTTGGTCATTCTAAAAACCTCAGTGGAGACTATTTAAATAAAAAAAAGAGCTACATATGTTAATAGTAAAGGTTTTTGATTTGCATGTGTTTGCAGGCTGGCCTAGCTGGCTGTACTGTTGACAATGGCATATTCATTGTCTCTAGGAGGTTAAGGGTTAAACAGGAGTATAAATTCACCGTCAATTTTTTATCATTAATGACCGAAATTGTACTACATTTGACAAAATGTTAGAAAAATAAAAATACTTTGCCATAGAATTTTTTTGTCTTATTAATGTATTTTTTATTTCCATGTTAAGAACAAATAGGACACAATTAAAACAGTTACCATTTGTTCTTTTTTTATTGTACTATTTATTATTCCATATTCATTTTTACATGGACATATATTACATATATGTTTACACATAAAATACAATGATAATGGCTGTTAACACATATTGATTTCTCTATGTATAATTTGGAGTGTAACATAAAAATATGTATTGTGTAATTGATCAAATTGCTTGATTTTGTATGAATACTAATTTGTACACATTAACTGTTGAAATAATTCATTTTTTTCTCTTTTGAACAATTACATGTACAATTTTTTTCCCGTTGCATATTAACGAATATGAAAATATTTCTAAATTTAATCCCAAATTTCCTTCCCTTTGTCTTCCTTTTGGGGGGGTTTTTTTTCCCTTTAAATAATTAAAAAATTTTTTTTTTAATTAAAAACCCAAAAAAATTTAAAAAAAATTTTTGGGGGGGGGAAAAAAAAAATTTTAATTTTTTAAAAAAAAACCCCCTTTTTTAAAATTTTTTTTTAAAAAAATTTTTAAAAGGGGGAAAAATTTTGGGTAGTCGAGCGTTACTGTCCTCCGACAGTTCTTGTTATAAAATCTTGTTGTCTTGAATTGGTTATTTAAAGGGGAAAAATTAATTCAGAAATCGATATGATTTTTCATCTGAAGAAAATAATTTTAATAATATAATTAGGGCACGTTATAGATGCTTATCATGTAAAAAAAAATGTCATACTTATTAAATTGTAGCATAACAGATCGGTATTTTGTATTCTATACAAATAATACTTTTAGACAATTAAATAATTATATTTTTTTTAAAGATTATGTAGGGCCAATGATTAACGTTTCGAAGTTTGTTAAAGGAAAATGAAAATTAAGGCAAATTAAGGCAAATTGAAAGAAAATAGCATGCTGGGAGATTAATGTTTTTATTCAATATTTTAAGGAACGCTGAAAAAGTTACCTGTGATGATAATAATACATTTTAGCTTGCCGACGGCAACATATTTTACTCATGTGACCATTGCAGACCAAGATCTGCCGGCATCTTGCTGACGTCGGATATGGTCATCATTGTCCGCTATTCAGCTAGTATATAGTTTGAAATTTTCCCTCAAAAATAATAAATGATTATGTCAAGATTGAAAGATTGACACGTCTATTTAATACGATCATTAGCGTGATTAAGGTCAAAATTTACTTTCTAACTGCTTGTCTTACCATAAAGTTACAAATAAAACGTTTCCAGGTATCATTTCGTTACATAGTCTCTATTTTGTTTTATAGATTTCCCAACAGTAGTGTTTGTTTCACAGCAACTGAAAACAATTGTACATGTGTCAAAGGTTAAAGGGAAATAAACGCTATAGATTCTCATATTTTCTTGCGTATTTAATAATTCCTCAGCTGCGTTTGTGAACGAACTTATCTTCAAAGTCAGACACAGGACATGCTCCTGTATAAGAACATGCATTTGGAGAGACACCCTTCCTAGTAGCAATACATTTTCTTTTTAGGTTGTGTTTCCGTCAGTATGCACTGAAAATGGAAAGTAATCCTTGTTTAATAGATTAATTCTTGATGGCCGATGTTATTTTAGTTCACCTGTGTACACTTTAATTTGTCCTCCACAAATTTCTTTTCTTGGAGCACGTGGTAGATTTTAACTAGACTCCTAAGGTGGCCCTCTACACATTTCCTATAATAATGCTTCCAGTCTGACAAGAGCTAAAGTAAACTTTAAGAATTAATCTGAAATTTACCTGAGACAAATATTTGGCAGGTGGTATCATCAAGTGGTTCTATATAAAATTTGTATTTATACAGATGTGGTCAAAATTGGCCTCGGTCTGGCCCCGTGTTCACTAAGAAAAGATCAGGATCAGGATCAAGTGATCCTGATTTTATTTTCATTGTTTAATGTTACCAAAACTATTTGTGTTTTGTTGAATTAAATTGTAAATATTCAAAATGTAAAAATATGCTGATTTGCAAAGAAAACAAACTATTTTGGGATAAAATCAACAAATAACAAAACAAATACAAAAATATTTGGATAAAAATAAGGATCAATTTTAGGATCAGGATCAATATTTGGATCAACTGTATAAATGCCCATACTTGCAAATAACAATTAATTTATTCTAAAAATTTCATTATACTTTGCTATTGTCAGTCAGTTTTATCAAATTTATAATCAGATATTTATCTATGAGGATAAACAATAAAAAATATCAGGGTTTTTAAATTTGATCCTGATCTTGATCCTGATCCTTAAATCTTTGTGAACACGGGGCCTGGAGTTAACTTACTACATATCTACGTGTTCTTGTACGAGACTTTACCTTCTCCCCTGGATATAGTTTAAGAAAACACATTTAAGTCTTCATAAGCGAAACTATGTATCACAATATACACAAATCTTAAGGAAAGCATTGCCAAAAGGACTTTTACGAAATTATATAACAATCATGCCCTTTGGATTAAATTGACAAAGCGCTATCGGTTTCTTATTTTACATCAGAGACATAGAGAATCCTAATGTGGTTCTGCAAAACGGTTATATGAATCATAGCCCTGGATTTAGAAATGGCCTTTATTTGGGATTCATTTTGTTGATACATTGTAACACATAGAGCTTCAATTTTAAGCAAATACCATTGCCTAATGTTGATAAATCGGAGCAAATGTTGCTTAAAGAGAAAATCTTCGAATACTGTTTACCACACAAGAGCCTACATACTGGTTTCGAGCTTATTGTATGAAGATATATTTCAATTCTTTATGTAGGTAACCGGACCAAATAAAAAAATAATACACAAAACAAAACATGGCTGATAGCGTGCCCCATTGGCGCCCCCTTTTGAGATCTTTTGTCGTCCATTTTTTACCAAGTGGTATTATATTCTCTATTCTGGTTGGCTTCGAGCAGGCGGTGAACGGGTTAAATAGTCAAATATTGTATATGTCGCCGTCTGGACGGTGACGCTAGCAGTCACGAGTCACTAATTTGATACAATTTGTACTGTAAAATAAAATAAAAAATCTTCTCCAATACTACAAGGGATCTCAAATAATCACATTGTGTTACTTTACGTTCTGTTTGTAAAGCATGCCTTGGAGGCCGTAATTTCCTCATGGATCACTTGATTTATATAGGCCTATATACAAAACACACGATGTCTTAAAAAATGACACATCCCATTGTGGCATAATTACCTGCCTATTCATTGTTGAACGTAGAAGTTGTTCAGCAATGACTCTCAGGCGAGTGATCGAGAGCCAACAATATTTGACTTCTAACTATATAAGGATCATATCCCAAAAAATCACTAAAATATTCACTTTTCTGTATGTTCACCATAACAATGACGACACATTAAAAAACTGCTAATAAAAAATTACTTGCCTCGAAACTAGAAAAAAAAAACAACAAAAAAAAGAAAAACACAGCATAACTTAAGTTTTTTTTTGTCCTGATAGAAAGTATTTTGAACTCGTTAAAATGACCTCGCTCACGTACAGAAACTGTGTCAAATAAATTTATTCTGTATCCCTCTTTTTTCTTCTTGTAAAAAGAAATTTATTTTCAAACCAGATAGAAATGGCGATGTCTTGGAAGTTCTTGATACATACTAGAAAACGTGTAACAACAAAAGAGCAGATGGGACATGTTTAGATTTTAAAAGAGTAATAACCTTTTAAGGAAGTTACATTAAAAAAAGTTAACATTAATAAAAAACCACGAAATTTGTTTGCTAATTTCGTTATCAGCGCAATATAATTATAGTACTCAACTTTTGCTCAGCAAAAAATGTTTCTTACTATATAAATATTAGATATATATAAAAGGATTCATTTTTTTTTTTGAATAGCTCGATTCAGCAATGATGTTTTATAGGAAAGGTCTCTGTGTGATCATGAAAAACATGCACCCCTCGCCTTCCTTCCTTCATTCCTTCCTTCCTTCCTTCCTTCCTTCCTTCCTTTCTTTCTTTCTTTCTTCCTTCCTTTACTTCCTTCCTTTCTTCATTCCTTCATCCATTCCTTCCTTCTTTCCATCCCTCCTTCCTTCCTTAAAATCGTTTGTAAGAGGCCGAAAATATTTACACTTAAATGTTTGGTACTTATCAAAAGTTAAGTAGTATAATATAAATATATTTATTTAAAAAATATATATATTTAACAATTTTAAGCATATAAATCTATAGAGTTTAGCTGTAAGCCATATAATTAAAAATTTTATTCGCAGATCTATATATCGAATGTAACTGAAACTTATGGAATTTAAAAGGAAAACGATATTCGGATTGTTGTTCATATTCTTTGTATATTTGTATGTTTATACATGAAACTCATCCACTCTGTGAAAATGAAATAGACAAACGAAAAGAGTTTAGAAATTTAAGTATCAAGAACTGGTCAATTTTAATGACTGTGAATGATGGGTACTTTGACTTTTTTCAAAACTGGATTCATTTCTACAATAAACTTCAATTAAACTTCCCCCTGATAGTAATTGCCGAGGACGATGATGTGTTTTTGAAGCTGCACCAATTAAATGCACAGTCGGTGTTCACTCTAGTCAGAAGTTGGAGAAACTCTCTAAGGTCGGCTGTTGTATACGGATCTAAAGAATTTAACGAACTTGCATCGGGAAGACCGACGTATATTCTGACGTATTTAGAAACAGGAACAAATATTCTTTACACAGACACAGATTCTGTATGGTTACAAGACCCTTTTCCATATTTCCAAGGGCCATTTGATATGTGGATGCAGGTAGACGGTCCTGGAAATTTATGTACCGGGCTGATGGCTATTAAAAGCAATAATGAGTCTATAAAATTAATGAGGCTATGGGAAGCTGCCTTGAAAAAACGTTTAGATATTGACCAGACAGTGTTTAATCAAGTTTTCACAAACTCGACAATACACTTAAAGCCACTGGACAGGAACTTGTTTCCATCAGGGAATCTGTATTTTGATCAGTTTACCGACACCAAACGTAAAAACGTGATAATTGTTCATAATAATTTCATTAAGGGTCATGACTCAAAATTAATGCGATTCAAAACATTTAAACTTTGGTTTACCGAATAAAAGACAAAGTAGACAAAACTCCATGGAAGATAAATTTTCCAAATAACTTTAAAGCTCTACCAACATTGGTATTCCAAGGAACATTTTATAAAAGTAACCAAGTGATAAATTTCTACACTTTTTATCAATATTTGAAACACTAATAAAAAGTGTCAATTTGGACCAATGTGCATTACAATGCGTAATCATGCATGTTACAAGTAATTTCTTTTAGTATTAAACTTTTTAGCGTTAAGCGTTTATTTATTTCATCAAATTTACTTAAAGCGGCCTTCGTCTTTTCTAAAGGTTAAATATATGAATTTGTGATATTCGTTTAATCAAATGAATTAAGGTGGAAAATGAAATTTGCTGCCAATTAAATACATAAAAAATATGAAAACCCCTCGATACCTATAATCTACTGGTCCAGTCTCTATATGTCAATTAGCAAAGCGGACGATTTTTTTCCACGATCTTCTATTTTTAGAAAAGACTATCACTAGCGTTATAGATAGCTGTTTTGAAATTATGATGCACTTTTCAAAAATTAAATTATTAAAATACTTACTTTGTTAGAACACTGCATTATTTTTCTGAATTAAAATACAAACTGAAAGCGGCTTTAATTTTGATTTTGGAACGGTTTATTCAATGTGAAACGGATTTAAAGTGAGGAGGTCTTAAATACAATTAATAATTATGTTGATAGTATTGAGTGTCATTACGAAATAATTTAATATGTATATTGTTGGAAAGTGTGAGATACCAGATCCGATCATACATATTTTCATCATGTTACTTGGCGATGAACATGTACATGTTTTGCCAATTAATTGTTTGACTTAACTTGCCTTTACATAGAGCAGATACATGTAAATAATTGTTTAAGAACATAATATTATTATTCATCAAATTTTAATGTTCATAATGAATCATTTAGAACTGTAACCAAAATACAAAATATTTTTCATGCAGTCTATTATATTAGAATATCCAAATAACATTTCTATATTTTTTTTATCAATATTTGAAATTCTTATGGAAAATGTGCCCATTGTAGATTAATTCACGTTAAAGTAACTCCAATAAGGTCTATAGGCATATAAACATAAATTTTAAAAATCTTCATATACAAAGTGATTGGTTTGGGCGTTAATAAATTGGTCATTCTAAAACCCCAGTGGAGACTATTTAAATATATATAAAAAATGAGCTAAATATGTTAATAGTAAAGGGTGTGATCAGAGTTACTTGTGTTTGCAGGCTGGCCTGGCTCTACTGTTGACAATGGCAAATCCATTGGTCCTAAGAGGGTAGAAGTTAAACAGGCGAATAAATTGACAGTCACTTTTTTTATCATTAATCACTGAAATCGTGCCATATTTGATAAAATTTTAGAAAAATAAAAACACTTTGTCATACAAAGTTTTTTATGTCTAATTTATAAATGTATTTTTTTTATTTCCATGTTAAGAACAAATAGGATACAATTAAAACAGTTACCATTGTGTTCTTTTTTATTGTACTATTTATTATTCCATATTCATTTTTTGCATGGACATATATTACATATATGTTTACACATAAAATACAATGATAATGGCTGTTAACACATATTGATTTCTCTATGTATAATTTGGAGTGTAACATAAAAATATGTATCGTGTAATTGATCAAATTGCTTGATTTTGTATGAATATTAATGTGTACACATAAACTGTTGATATAATTTATTTTTTTTCTCTTTTGAACAATTACATGTACAATGTGTTTTCAGTTGCATATGTAACGAATATGACAATGTGTATATTTCTAATTCAATCCACACTTTCCTTCCATTTGTCTCCATTTTGGATGAGGAATATTCCATTTCTTCAAATAATTCAGAGTACATTTTGTATTAAGTTCAATACATGCCATAACGTCCGGGACAGTCCCGGAAATAAGGTGTTTGTCCCGGAGGCGCCCCGGACCCAATAAAAATGAAAATCTTAATCTATTTTGTAGCCAGAAATTCCACATTTTTATAAAATCTTGTTGTCTTGAATTGGTTATTTAAAGGGGAAAAATTAATTCAGAAATCGATATGATTTTTCCTTATCAAGAAAATAATTTTAATAATACAGTTAGGGCACGTTATAGATGCTTATCATGTAAAAATTGTCATACTTATTAAATGGAAGCTATCGATCAGTATTTTGTATTCTATACAAATAATTCTTTTAGACAATTTATAATTATAATTTGCCAAAAACTTATTTTTTTAAAAGATTATGTAGGGCCAATTAGTAACGTTTCTAAGTTTGTAAGAGGAAAAAGACAATTATTTAGGGAAACTTTTGCAAAATGAAAGAAATAGCATATTTTTATTCAATATTTTAAGGAACACTGAAAAGGTTACCTGTGCTTATGATAAGGATATGGTTTTCATTGTCGGCTATTCAGCTAGTATATATTTTGAAATTTCCCCTTAAATATGATTATGTCAAGGTTGAAAGATTGACAAGTCTATTTTATAAGATAATTAGCGTTATATAAGGTCAAAATTCACAGTAGTTGCTTGTATTAACATAAATAATGTTACAAATTAATCGTTTCATTGATCCAGGTATCATTTCGTTCAATAGTCTCTATTTTGTTACATAGATTTCCCAACAGAAGTGTTTGTTTCACAGCAACTGAAAACAATTGTACATGTGTCAAAGGTTAAAGGGAAATAAACGCTATAGATTCTCATATTTCCTTGCGTATTTAATAATTCCTCAGCTGCATTTGTGAACGAACTTATCCTCAAAGTGAGATACAGGATATGCTCCTGTATAAGAACATGCATTTGGAGAGACACCCTTCCTAGTAGCAATACATTTTCTTTTTAGGTTGTGTGTCCCTCGGTATGTAATGACAATGTAAAGCAATCCTTGTTTAGTAGGATAGCTCTTGATGACCGATTTTATTTCGTTCACCTGTGCACAATTTAATGTGTCCTCCACAAATTTCTTTTCTCAAACCATTTGGTAGGTTTAAACTAGACTCCTTAGGTGGCCCTCTACAAAATTCCTAAAATATTGCTTCCAGTCTGATGTGAAAAATTAGGTCACAAGAGCTAAAGTTAGCTTTAAGAATTAATCTGAAATATACCTGAGAAACTATATGCCCATGTGACAGATATTTGGCAGGTGGTATCATCAAGTGGTTCTATATAAAATTTGTATTTTTACAGGTGTGGTCAAAATTGGCCTCGCTCTGGAGTTAACGTACTACATATGTAGACACATCTACGTGTTCTTGTAAGAGACTTATAGATATTTGCTATGTAGCATTGCCTAAAGAACCATTTCTTAAGTTATATTGGTTAAAACATATTTGTTTAAGTTCGACAGCGAAACAAATTCTTGCAATTTATATAAAATTGTGCAACTTTACAACTTTGCCATCCCACCTGAATATAGTCTAAGAAAACACATTTAAGTCTTGATATACACAAATCTTTAGTATTTATCGTAAAGCATTGCCTAAAGGACTTCTTTGAAATTATATATCAATCGTGCCATTTTGATTAAAATTGACCAAGCTCTACAGTATGGGTTCTTTATTTTACATCATAGATATGAAGATTCCTCTTGTGGTGCTCCAAAACGATTATGTAAATCATGGCCCTAAATTTTGAATTGGCCTCTATTTGGGATTCATTTTGTTTATATAGAGTTTAACATAATATATATTCTAACACAAAGAGCTTCAGTTTTAAGCAAATTACATTGCATAATGAACCTCGACTTAATGTTGATAAATCAGAGCAAAGGTTTCTTTAAGAGTGAGACTACTGTTTACCACTCAAGAGCCTACATACTAGTTTTGAGCTTCGTGCATGAAGGTAGTATTTCAATTCTAAATGAAGGTAACCCCACCAAAAAAAAGTATATGGCGCATGGCGTGTCCTTTTAAGATCTTTTGTCGTCCATTTATGTTCCTTTGTTGTATTAAATTCTCTATTCTGGTTGGCTTAAAGCAGGCGGTGGACGGGTAAAAGTAGTCTATTTCTTGTTATTTTCATAAGTCGCTGTCTGGATGGTGACACTAGCAGTCACGAGTCACTTGTTAAATACAACTTTTAACTGTAAAATTAAACAAAAGATCTCCATTACTACAATGGATCTCAAATATTTGCCATGAAGTATCATCACCTTGTGTTTCTTTACGTTCTGTTTGTAAAACATGCCCTTGAGGCCAAATTCCCTCATGGATCACTTGATTTATATAGACCTATATAGAAAAACACATGATGTCTTTAAAAATGGCACACCCATTGTGACATTATCACCTGCCCATTCATTGTAGAACGTAGACGGTTTCCAGCAATGGATCTCAGGTGGGTGATCAAGGGCCGCCAACAATATTTGACTTCTAACTTGTATCTCAAAAATCACTAAAATATTCACTTCTCTGTATGTTCACCATAACAATGACGGCACCTTTGAAAATTTGGTAATAAAAATTACTTGCTTTGAAACTAAAAAAACAACAAAAAAACAAAATAAAAAACGATGTAACTTAAGTCTTTACTTTGTCATATAAAGTATTTGTTTTACTTTACTTTGAACTCATTAAAATGACTTCGCTCACATACATGTTGCCAAGTACAGAAACTTTGTCAAATAGATATTATCCCTTTTTCTTTCTTGTAATGATAAATTTATTTTCAGACCAGATAGAAATGGCGATGTCTTGGAAGTTCTTGATACATACTGGTACACGTGTAGCAATACAAGAGCAGATGGGACATGTTTAGATTTTGAACGCAGCATGCCTCCAGATTTATGAAAATTTTAATGAAACTTTTGAAAATGAATTTAAATGTTTGATATTGTATAGTAACCAAAACTAAGCAATTTACACATCATCAATGCGACCTACCACCAACTTTAATTACAAAAGAGGTCAAAATATGCAACAAAATTGCCCTTACTGCGTTAGTAATGCAGTAGCAATATAGTTATACATAATGAAAAAATTACCATTAATCGCTCATAACATGTAAATTATTACTTGAATCTTGAATCTGTCTACTAAAATCTTAGTACATATTTCAAAAGTTTTTTTTTTAATTAAAATATTTCGCTGATCTTGAGGCATGCTGCTTTAAAAGAGAAATAACATTTAAAGGAAGTTACATTAAAAACGTTAACAGTTATATGTAAGAAAACCACGAAGTTTGTTTATCAGTGCAATATATACTACTCAACTTTTGCTCAGCAAAAATGTTTCTTACTATATAGATATTAGATATATATAAAAGGATTCAATTATTTTTTTTGAGTTGCTCGATTCAGCAATGATGTTTTATAGGAAAGGTCTCTGTGTGATCATGAAAAACATGCACCCCTCGCCTTCCTTCCTTCCTTCCTTCCTTCCTTCCTTCGCCCCTTCCTTCTTTCCTTCCTTCCTTCGTCCATTCATTCCTTCCTTCCTTCCATCCTTAAAAATCATTTGTAAGAGGCCGAAAATATTCACACTTAATTTGACTTTTAAAATGCTTGGTACTTATCAAAAGTTAAGTAGTATAATATAAATATATTTATGTAAAAAAATATATATAACAATTTTAAAGCATGTTCATGTATAGAGTTTAGCTGTAAGCCATTAATTAAAACTTTTATTCGCATATATATCGAATGTAACTGAAACTTATGGAATTTAAAAGGAAAACGGTATTCGGATTGTTGTTCATATTCTTTGTATATTTTTATATAATGTTTATACATAAAACTCATCTACTCTGTGAAAATGAAATAGACAATCGAAAAGAGTTAAACAATTTTAGTATCAAGAACTGGACAATTTTAATGACTGTGAATGATGGGTACTTTGACTTTTTTCAAAACTGGATTCATTTCTACAATAAACTTCAATTAAACTTCCCCCTGATAGTAATTGCCGAGGACGATGATGTGTTTTTGAAGCTGCACCAATTAAATACACAGTCGGTGTTCACTCTAGTCAGGAGTTGGAGAAATACTCTAAGGTCGGCTGTTGTATACGGATCTAAAGAATTTAACGAACTTGCATCGGGGAGACCAACGTATATTCTAACGTATTTAGAGACAGGAACAAATATTCTTTACGCAGATACAGATTCCGTTTGGTTACACGATCCTTTTCCATATTTCCAAGGGACATTTGATATGTGGATGCAAGTAGACGGTCCTGGAAATTTATGCACCGGGCTGATTGCTATTAAAAGCAATAATGAGTCTATAAAACTAATGAGGCTATGGGAAGCTGCCTTGAAAAAACGCTTAGATATTGGCCAGACCGTGTTTAATCAAGTTTTCACAAACTCGACAATACACTTAAAGCCACTGGACAGGAACTTGTTTCCATCAGGGAATATGTATTTTGATCAGTTTACCGACACCAAACGTAAAAACGTGATAATTGTTCATAATAATTTCATAAAGGGTCATGACTCAAAATTAATGCGATTCAAAACATTAAAACTTTGGTTTACCGATGAAAAGACATAGTGGACACGACTACATGGAAGATAAATTTCCGAAATAACTTAGAATTCTACCAACATTGGTTTTACAATAAAAGTAACCAAATGATTTATTTCTACAGTTTTTATCAATATTTGAAACACTAATTAAAAGTGTCATTGAGGACTAGTCTACATTAAAATGCGTAATTAGACATGTTACAAGTAATTTGTAAACTTATTTATTCGTTGACAATTGTTAGAATTTCACTTTGCGGAGATTTGCACTGTCCCGACATATAGGAACATATTGAGGCTAAGAATGATGTTTGGCGCGGCTTAAACCGGTTTAAAATCCCAAGTAGTGTTGTTAGTTTTAAGGCGGAACCCCATCCATCTGTGTGCATTCGCATGTTTCTCATGCGTGTTTTGTGTATTGTTACATGTTTTGAATGATATACATATTGTGTTATAAATTGTCGTTAACAGTCAACTTACTTAGATAAAGAATTAAGTAAGTCCTTAAACGCGGCATTGTACAGACTCAGTCTGTACAGTGAGAGCTATGGTAATCATATACTAGAACTGTACTCAATCTAGGCCGTTGTCCAACAAGTGTCTTGTATGCTGTACTTTTTAGAGGTTCAGAGTGGACCATGATGTTTCGCCGCAGAGCGCACACAATTGTTTTGACAATGCTTTCCATGTGCGTGTTCCCGGTTGATTATTTGATACTGTGATACCAATGTATTACATGTATGCTTTTTTGTACTGATTATAGGTTATTTTGAAGGGTATATTGTGTTGTTGTCATTTGGGTCTTGCGTTTTGTGATTTAGATGTTTCGCATTTTGAAGGATGATCATATATATCCGATTTTCAAGCCATGTGCAATATGTTCATTGCTTTACATATGATATAATGTGCATGTATTATGACAAGAAAACAAACAAACAACAAAATAAAATACATTTGGGAACAATGAAGGCTTAATCAACTACATTCTTGTTAACAAATAAACGTAAACAAATTCTTTCAGGTCTTGGAATATTCCTGTGTCTACCTTCCTCTATCAGTAATTTATGAACAGAACATCTAAATCGACAAAAAGTAATACGATAATTTAAATTACTAACACAGAACAAATATTTTTTCGCAACATGTTCATTTTTAAATATACAATAAGTTTCAAATTTAGGTAAATTGTTTATTTCACTTTGCAATTGTTGTAAGTATTGATCTTTTATTCGTGCTATAGAAATAGTTCAATTGTAACACTTTGATTATTCCATAAAAACGGAAACCTAACTCATCCAGCAAATCCCGTACATCACTGGACCACTTGTTTAAAAAACATAATTATCATTTTTCATACTTTAAATTCTATAAATAAGTATGTCGATATTTTCAAGAATTCTGTACCAAAATTTAATATTCTTATCTTTCTATATACAATAATGGAAATCCTCCTAATTCTCTATACACTGTTGTATATACAGTTTGTTGCCATACACCTAACAACTGTTTCAAAAAATTTAAAATGTACTCTTTCAGTATCAGGGAACATGTTAGATGTTTGTTACCTTTAGAAATTATCGTTCAGTGTTCAATTTTTGAATGTCACAAAAGTAGGAAAAAGTAAACAAAGTAGTATTTTGACGTCCATACAAACTAAACCTTTACAACGTTAAAGATTGCAAAAGCAACATAAGCAAAATATGTTTCAGGAAATTGGCCAATAGTATCTATAACAAGACAACAAATACGAAAAGACTTTGAGAAATAAAAAAAAAAACTTTCTGGGGCATAATTGGTCTTTAATACTGTCTAAATGTACATTTTGGTGATACAATTTGTATGAAATTTAACAATAAGTCTCCGAATATTTGTTGTCTAATGTTATCATAATTTTAGCATTCTACAAGGAAATATACTGTTTCCTTTTTCTGTGTCTTCCTGGTCAGGAAATGAAAATATGCTCTGATTTAAGTGTTCGCTGATAAATTGTCCTGTTTGAACTCTTCACGGTAAAATTCGGCACCATTATTACCGTTTGCTAAACGGAGCTAGTACTTTTTCATTTGTAAGTTTGAAGTCATTTTGCGATGCTTTTCCCCTTCTGTAAAAAGTACTTAAACCGAGTAGTATCATAATGTTTGATTTTGGTGGACACATTATTATAACGTCAATATAATCTAGTAGTGAAGCATTTTATCCATCGTCGGCAACCACCTCTGACATCCGGACCTCGGCAAATGTTTGTTTTCCCCAGCTTTTTGGTAGGGGAAATAACCCAGAATATACTTAATTTTAGTGTAAGTATATTGACGCAACGATCACAAAACAGTGTTATCCTGGGAAAAACTTACTGCTGTAGTTTTCATACTGTCTAATATTGCGTGTTTACTGTAGAACACTTTTTTTCAAAAGTATTCAAAATCAATATACCGTTAGTATAGACGTTTTCTATTATTCATCGCAAAGCTTTTAAAGCATGGAACTTTCCGTGAGTGATACCATCTATTGATTGAGGTCTTCGGGATCATTGATTTTAATATCCTTTGTGTTGAAGATTGATTAATGCTTATAATTTAAAAATGTCAGGTACATGCATGATTTGGCATTCTAACAGGCTTCGCACTTTTTTCCTAACAAACATTTGAACTCGAACGCTACATTACTCTATTTTCAATTTCAATTCATTTGCAATAACACTCAGTTTGTATAATTTACAAAAGAAAAACATGAGCACATCAAATATGCAAACATATAAAAGAAATGGGTCATTGTAATGCTTAAGTGTTGAAATAAACACACACACAAAAAGATTTATATGTGTAAGCTGATATGTAACATGTTATATTCCAGTGTTGAGTTTTAGTTTTAATATATTTGTCAATAGATATTTAGTATCGTTTGATTGAAAAACATTTGAACTCAGACGGTGCATTATTCTGCAACAATGCACACAAAATTGATATCCATTTCCTAATTTGCATTGCCATTTATAAAGTACGCATACGCAATAGTAATAGACGTTCAAAATTTTGTAACAAAGAAAAATTCGAAAAATTGAGGCTATATAAGTGATAAATTAACATAAACTGTGTGAAAATATGCGGATTAAGAGGTTTTATATATGCTTAAAGTATATGAGTGATATGAGGTTTGACTTTTAGAGCTAAATGGGAAGAAAGAGAAAGAAAAGTAAAAGTTCACCTCAGACAAAAGGTTAGCTATGGCGCATTATGTTCCCCCAATCGCATAAAGTCAGCAAATACTGCAAAAAAACGGACAATATCAGTCAAATATAAATGGATATAATGGGTATAGTGGATTACAACAGGCAAGTCCAAACATTGTTAATCAAAACCAACAAACAGGGCAACCTATGTTTCAGTATTCACCTGTTAATTTGGGGTCAAAAACTCTGACGCAGTACATTCCACAGCCACAAACACCGACCGCCTCGGAAACAAGTGTGAGCAGTGATCAATTTTCTTTGCTTATCCGACGTCTTGACCGTATAGAATGAAAACTTGCCCAATTAGACTCTATACAATCTACCGTTAACGGTATTAATATTCGTCAAACTGTCTGGATCAAACAGTTAACGGTGTAAAGACAAAAATGTCGGACATTGAGATAAGCCGTAACCATGACGCGAGCTGCATTAGTGATATAAGTAAAAAAAAAAGAGCTCGATTCTTTAATGTCAAAATTCAAAAAGTTAGAAAATGAACAGTGTAAAAGGGAGCAGAATATGAAGTCAGAAATTATTGACCTGAATGGGAGGAGCATGCGCGATAACTTGCTCTTTTTTGGCATTGAAGAAGAGAAAGGTGAGACGGACTCTGATTGTGTGCAGAAGGTTTTGACAGTTATCGAGGAAAAGTTAGGTCATGAAAACGCAACTTCAGACGTCAAACTCCACCGTGCACACAGAATAGGAAAGTAAAAGCCGACGGGCACTAGGCCTATTGTAGCAAGTTTGCTTATTTCCCTGACAGAGAAAAGGTGCGATTGGACGCTAGAAAATTAAGTAGGCCTTTTGGCATCAGTCAGCAATTTCCGGTAGAAGTCATGGAACGCCGACGAAAACTAGTTCCGGTCATGCTCGACCGGAAGGACGGGAAGGAAGCGTATCTCGCAGCAGACAAGCTGTACATTGACGAACATTTGTACAGGGATGGGGCGACTTCCGGTTCCGGCTAGGATTGCCACAGAGCAGAGATACGGTGTGTAACGTGGAATATTAAGGACTTTCTCAACTAAAGAAAAATAACACTGACTTTACAAACTTTATTGGTAATTATGACATCATATTTTTAAGTGAAACCTGGACTAATAAAACATCAAAAATAGAACTAAATGGGTATAAACTTTTTCACTCTTATAGAAAATTTCAGAATAAACGGGCCAGACGGAGCAGTGGGGGAATTTTAGCGTATGTTAAAAGCTCGATCATAAAAGGTGTTAGACTAATGAGAAATTACATTGATTGTATTATGTGGTTATAACTTTCCAGGTACCAGAAGATATCTTGCTATGTTCCATATATATTGCCCAAGAAAGTTCACCTGTTCATAATATATATGATACTGATATATTTAGAAAATTAGAGAATGATATAAATTGTAACGAAAATAAAGGAATGGTATATGTGTGCGGAGATACAAACTCGAGAATTGGTTCAAAATCTGACTGTATAAATTATGATATATTGTTATATGATCATGATTATTTAGCTATGGATTCAATTATTCCGCGGACGACGACTGATCGTGGTACAAGTCGGTTTGGGGAACAATTACTTGATCTTTGTCAATCTACCGATATACGCATTGTAAACGGACGGTTGGATAGCGACGCGAATCTCGGGAAACCTACTTGTTATACGTATAACGGGAACAGTGTAGTGGATTACTTGTTAACAAAAGCATGCAATTTTAAACATATTTCAGAGTTTCGTGTTCACGATTTGACCGCCCACTCAAATCACGCCCCGATTTCATTCTTCTTGAAATAAAGGACCGTGCCAGTCGTAACGAATCCGCGTAAACGCACGATTTATAAATGGAATCCCGAATATAGGACGGAATTTGTAAACGATATTTCGCGAGACATAGAAATGTTTTGTCAAAACTTAAATGAATCCAAGTAAAATAACCAGGATCCAGATGAAATGGTTCATATTTTTACAACATATTTATCTGAAAGAGGTAATTGTATTTTGAAACTTGTTGTAAGGCAACTGTTAACGCATGTTTCAGCGATAATAAAACGAATAAATGGTTCGATGAAAGCTGTAAACAAAAGTATACTGTATATAACAAGAGGGCCATGATGGCCCTAGATCGCTCACCTGACTCATCAAACTCATCCAAACAATTACCTAGACAAGCATTCTGACCAAGTCTCATGACAGGTGAGTCAAAAATGTGACCACTACAGTGTTTACAAGGATTATCAATATTTGAGCAGTGCGACCTATTTTTTTACCCAGGTGACACATATTCAAACTTGACCTAGAAATCATCAAAACAAACTTTCAGACCAATTTCCAGGATACTTGGATCAAAACAGTAGCAACTAGAGTGTTAACAAGATTTTTCTATTTTTAGCTCCGGTGACCTAGTTTCACATGCGATTTCGAACTCATCCAAGCAATTACCTAGACAAGCATCCTGACCAAGTTTGATGATAATTGAGTCGAAAATGTGGCCACTAGAATGTTATCAAGGTTTTTCCATATTTGGGCTGTGTGACCTAGTTTTTCATCCAAGATGACCCATGTTCGATCTTGACTTAGACATCATCAAAACAAACTTTCAGACCAATTAACAGAATATTTGGATCACGAGTATTAACAAGATTTTTCTATTTTTAGCTCCTGTGACCTAGTTTTTCATCCGAGATGTCCTATGTTCGATTTATTCCCAGTAATGACCTAGACAAGTTTCCTGACCAAGTTTGATGACAACTGAGTCAAAATTGTGACCACTAGAGTGTTAACAAGGTTTTTCTATTTTTAGCTCCGGTGACCTACTTTTTCATCCGAGATAACCCATGTTCGAACTCATCCGAGCTATCACCTAGACAAGCATCTTGATCAAGTTTAATATTGATTGATGCAAAAATGTGACCGCTAGAGTGTTAACAAGGTTTTCCTATTTATAGCTCCGGTGACCTACTTTTTCATCCGAGATGACCCATGTTCAAACTCATCCGAGCTATCACCTAGACAAGCATCTTGACCAAGTTTGATGATGATTGATGCAAAAATGTGACCGCTAGTGTGTAAACAAGGTTTTTCTATTTTTAGCTCCGGTGACCTACTTTTTCATCCGAGATGACCAATGTTCGAATTCATCCAAGCTATGAACTAGACAAGCATCCTGACCAAGTTTGATGATGATTGATGCAAAAATGTGACCGCAATAGTGTTAACAAGGTTTTTATATTTATAGCTCCGGTGACCTAGTTTTTCATTCGAGATGACCCATATTGGAACTCATCCGAGCTATTATCTAAACAAGCATCCTGACAAAGTTTGATGATGATTGGGTCAAAAATGTGACCACTAGAGTGTTCACAAGGTTTTTCTATTTTTAGGTCCTGTGACCTAGTTTTTCATCATAGATGACCCATGTTCGAACTCATCCAAGCAATTGACTAGACAAGCAATCTGACCAAGTTTGATGAAGATTGGTTCAAAAATGTGACCACTAGAGTGTTCACAAGGTTTTTCTATTTATAGCTCCTGTGACTTACTTTTTCATCCGAGATGACCCATGTTCGAAGTCATCCGAACTATCACCTACACACACATTCTGACCAAGTTTGAGGATGATTTGGTCAAAAATGTGACCTCTAGAGTGTTCACAAGGTTTTTCTATTTTTAGCTCTTGTGACCTAGTTTTTCATTCGAGATGAGCCATGTTCGAACTCATCCGCGTTTTCAACTAGATAAGCATCCTGACCAAGTTTGATGATGATTTAGGCAAAAATGCGACCGCTAGAGTGTTCACAAGCAATTGTGGACGTACGACGGACGACGGACATTCAACGATCCTAAAAGCTCACCCTGAGTCAGCTAAAAATGCTGTATTAGAATTTAATGCTAACAAATCTGTAGAAAATAGAGAATGTTTATATCTAAAAAAGAAGTATTATAAATATCATTGTAGAAAAGTAAAACGGAACTTTGACAGAAAACAAGCTGCAAAAATGAATGAATTGAGAAACAAAAAAGCCAAAAGAATTTTGGAGGATGTTTCGTCAAAGTAAATCAACCGTGTCTGATGAAAACATAGATTTGGATGATTTTTATAATCATTTTATGAATTTAGCATCTAAATTTTCTGTTGCGGAAGATGACGAAATTGAAGATTTTTTACATCTTCTGATGAAAATGCAAATTTTAACTCTACTTTTGAGGAGCTTGATGTACCTTTTACGACTGATGAAATAAGAAAAGCTATCAAAAAACTAGGAACAAATAAAGCTAGCTCTTTTGACCACATTATGTACGAGTATTTTAAAGAAGGTATAGATATTTTAGACAAACCTTTAGAAATATTGTTCAATCATATTTTAGATACGGGTTGTTTTCCCAAATCATGGTCACAGGGAGTTGTTATACCTGTTTTTAAAAAAGGCGATTCTAGAGAACCTACTAATTATAGAGGTATAACACTAATCAGCTGTTTTGCAAAATTATTTACTGTTGTTATTAATGAGCGTTTAAAAAAGTGGGCTTATACTAATAATATACTCACTAATGCACAATTTGGTTTTAAATGTAACTATAGCACAGTAGACGCTATATTTCCCCTTCATGCTTTTATAGAACGACAATTAAAAAAAAAGAAATTATATTGCTGTTTTGTTGATCTTATGCAATGCTTTGATTCAATTTACAGGAATGCCTTAATTATGGGTAAAATTGATAAAAAATGGTGTAAATGGACGCTTTTTTTGTGTAATAAGGTCTCTGTATGAAGATGTTAAATTATGGATTCATTGTCTGATTTTTTCAAATGTGATGTTGGATTATTGCAAGGGGAGATAATTTCTCCGATACTTTTCTCATTATTCGTAAATGATATTGATTTGTTTTCACAAAAAGATCATAGTTCTTGTTTGACATTAGATCAACTTTATATATACCTACTACTTTTTGCCGACGATGCAGTCATTTTCTCAGAGACGGCTCATGGGCTTCAAACTTCATTACATAATTTAAAAGACTATTGTAATAAATGGCAATTAAAAGTGAATGTTAATAAAACGAAGGTCCTTGTATTTTTTAAATCCTTTGTCAATAGAGCTGCAGCAATAAACTCCACTTTGCGATGCAGTAGCATGACATATTTTATAAGTTCAGCACGGTATGGAAAATAAATAATAGTAATAAAGACTCCCTTATCTGATATATATCGAAATTACTTTACAAAAAAAAAATATAACAAAAGCCTGGTTTCGCCCCTGCGCACAACAATCGTAATTTATATGAAAACCTGTTGATGTATATGCGTAGAACTGAACAAAAAAGTTTCGTATTTATATCCTAGCGTCTTGCTTTCACATTTTACAAACCTACCAATTTTATTTACATTTTCACTTTAAATTATCTACAAGTATGTCCATCCAGTGACAACTTAAATTTCAATCGAATCATATTGATTAAAAAACACCACTAAAACAAAGAATTGAAAAAAAATGAAACACTATTTTTTTTAAAAGGAAAATCACCTATAGTATATATTCTTTATTTGAGTCTTATCCATGCATGACGATATAAAACAATTCAATTACATAATTTTACAAAATAAAAGTTATTTATGTTCAGCCATTCTAATCAGAATTACAAGAGACTATAAAAATAATCTAATGGAAGGGAGGCAACTCTGCAAGAATTTCCAATATAACTTACAGACTTATCTCTTTTCTCATGGTATATCATCTTTATTAGAAATAGTCATAACAATACCCATAAGCAATATTTTTTGAATAATTACTTTGTTTGCTTATAATCTTGTTTATAAATTAGCACTAAGTAATCTGTGGTTTCTGTTCTGTATCCATACCACTTCATTCAGTTCCGAGGCAAAAAGATGAACTATCAATCGTTTATGATTTGATGTTAAGTAATGAGGTTGAATACCCAAATATTATTATTTTAATCAATTATATTTAGCTGAAAAATTAAC